GGGGTCTAGCAGTAAGCAACCGGTTTTTAGTGTAATTTCATCAAATTAAGCATAAAATCATTTTCATATGGTCTTGTTAAGCGACGAATACAACAAATCCATTTTCCTTGAAGGAAAAAATTTCATGGGTTAATCCTATAATTTCTCCTATTTAGCCAGAATCAAATTTTCAAGTTTTCCAATCATCCACTCTTAGCCCTCGTCGACTTATAGGGCGCTTATAAATATTTTCTAAGGCCATTCTTAAAGCTGTAATGTTCATTTTGAATCCAACGTGAATATCTTTATCGTAGCATTTCGTTCAATTCTTGTTCACTTGTGATGTTGTTTTAAGATTTAATTTCGGGCCACCTTCAAAGTTCCTCTGTTTATTTTGAATCAAACATTAAAGTTTTCCAACTATAAATTCCTGTAAGCCGTTATTGGTCCATGGTGCTCGTTTAGATATATATCATCTAAAAATTTCTTAAGAATTGAAATTCCTAAATATTTATGCCGATTCATAAAGGAATTAATGACTCCTCTTCTAAACTTCAAAGAGTTATAGAGTTATTATGCAGTTCTATACATTTGAGGTCCACATATCATATCTTCGTCACAATTAGCTTTTGAAACACTGCAGGAACAAAGCAGTTAAGAAATAGAAAGATAAAAAACAGCCAAGTTTCGTGCATCAGAAAGGAATCTTACTCTAACAACAAATTAACAAAATACAATTTACGGACAACAGCTGATCTATATAACTTTAGTCCTTTTCTCCACAGTCAAGTTTTTTCTTGTTTCATCATTTGATTTAACGCCAGCATAAATGCCATCAATTTCGTTTCGAAGGTCCGAGAATCACGTCAGCGTCGTAATTATTGCTTGAAATGCTCTTTGATCTAGCTGAAGAACAAAAAGAATAATGAAGATGTTATTCCATGGTTAACGAAAGCACGTTTTAAGGAAATCGATAGTCACAATGCTTTGTAAAAATTTCAGAAAAACTGTTCGCCTCGAGAGCCTAGCCAGCCCTTTAAGCGGCCGGTTTTTAGTGTAATTTCATCAAATTAAGCATAAAATCATTTGAAATTGTTGTTGTTAAGAGAGCAATGCAGCAAATCCATTTTCCTTGAAGGACAAAACTACAAAGAGGTAAAATATTAGGAGAAACACATTCGAGGCGAGTCTAGTGACTCCTTTAGCAAACGGTTTTTAGTGTAATTTCACCCAAATAAGCAGAAAGTCATTTAAAATGGTTTCTAGAATGATTCATTCACAATTCCGAAAATGCTCTCAAAGCTAGAAATAATTTTAACTTAAGAGGAAATAAAATCCTATTCTTCTCGGTGGAAAGCTCACAGAAAAAACTGAAATTTTAATCGAAAAATACTCACTTGTTGTACAAAAAGTCAGCGAATCCGATCGTTTATCTACAAAAAAGGATGGCGGTTAGGAAAAGTTGCTGCAAAGGGTTCTCGTTAGGCATAAAAATTTAGGGGCTGGCATTACATAATTCGCATTACAACGGGTTTCCTATGAAAATAAAATCTTCTTGCATCAAGAATAAACAGCAGGAAAAATCTACCACAATTCTTCATACTTTGATTGCTATAAAGCAAATCCAGTTTCCTTTTAGCACAAAACCACGAGAAGAGGTAAAAATTCGCCGTTCGGGGCGGGGGTCTAGCAGTAAGCGGCTGGTATTTAAAGGCCGGTTTTTAGTGGAATCTCATCGAAATGAGCACAAAATCATTTGAAATAAGTAATATCGAAAACACGTAAGAAGAACAACGCTTACTTGTATTCGCATGCCATCGATTCTGATGCCAGTTTAGAACCGGAACAGCCAGCAGCCATCGCAAAACCAAATATCAGGTAGCAGCGCGTGTACCGTACGTAGCTACTAAAACGAAGATCGTCAAAAGCACTAATTACATGGCTCTTGCAAACGAAATAACAAAACGGGGTTCAATCGTCGATCAATAAAAAACCAGTTGATAAAAAAAGCCAAGGAGACTCACCTGAGATCGAGAACACCCAGCACGATTGACTACTGGAGCTGTAGCTGTAGCTGTAGCTGTAACACACGACACGACCGTCGGCGACCGCTTCGAGTTCGAAAAGGAATGCCAAGCAGCAGTGCACGTAGATTTATTATCATCCAATTCCAAGTCACCGAAATTATCGGCACACAGTAGATTCTTTGTGGAAAGCGAAACGAATTTGAAAAGCCTCCGTTCAAATTGAAGGGTTGCTGTTGGAAGGAGTTTTGAAATCTTTTGTAGAGAGCAAGAGAAAAGAGAGAGAAAGAACCTATAGAAACACGGGACAAAGACCACGGAGAGCACTAATCGTGATCGCGAGATTTTGGAACGAACCCGGGAGAAAACCGTTAATATCTCAAAAACGGAAGCGAAAATACGAAAAAGCGGACCTTATGTTTGAGCCTCGAGGATCTAGGATTCAGTGGAAAAAAGAATTTTGAAAATCGGCCGAGCGGTTTTGGCTGAAAACCGTTTGAATCGCGGGGCGGTGTGGATCTTTTGTTCGGGGTTGATTTGCATATCCGAATTTTAGTTATAGTGATGATTAATACATCCATTACTTGTATCAATGGAATATAGGAATTTTCAGGGTCGAGCTGAAATTTCAAGCGAAATGAAAACATTCAAGTGAATTTTGCAACATTAAAAGCTATGATTCACAGAAAAATTCATGAGGTAATAATATCATATAAAACCAGAAACTCAACGATTGATTACGCATGTTGCAAAGATTGGGATGTGGAAGCTTTAAAACTAACTATTTTCAAGCTCTACCTTGCATTCAGGCAATTTAGGAAAATTAGGTATTTTAAAAAAGCTCCCTCTCATTTTATTACTTATTCAATTATTATTTGTTTAACACTGAAAAAACTACTTTTACGAAATGTGATAACACAGACAACTAAAAGAAATACTTTATGAGTGCAATGCCAAAGAACGGGGATTCTTAAAAGAGTCATACCTCAACAGCCTTCTGAAATGCTTTCAATGCTGGCATATAGCTGCCTCTTGCAATGTAGGCATCACCGGGCATTCCCACATGTGCCTGCACAGGAAGAGCAAATGAATTGGCGTTACAAAGAGTGTATGCACGAGGTCACTTTGCTGTGTCGCAGAAAAGTGAATAATAATGTAATTAAGATGCGCTCAGCCACATGACCCTCGATGCTGCCAACGGAAGGCGAAATATGATATTGCTGTTTTACCGTTGTTTTTAGATTTTATCTATCATACCACTGTGTGTGTATGATTTACTAAAGGCAATTCTGCAATTCTTGACAAAGTTGTTAGCACAATGCAATTTTTAGGAATTATATTTTTGCATTTAATAGCAGGAAGAAGTTCCCCCTATAGTGGTAATAAAATACAAACAGTCGTTCAACTATCACAAGAGTTCACACAAAAAACTCACTCTTCAGACGCACATCAATCTGAACAAAAAACAGGCTTTCATTAGCGTAAAATTTCCAGAATAAAAAAAGACTGCAAATAACTATCATATTATGGCACAAAAAAAGCCGCGGGCGCTATTGGCCAGAAGTTGGAACGACCTCCTTTAGCTCGTAATAGCAACTTCTATAATAATTGGGTTTTTCTTTTCAATTTGAATAACTTGCGAAGCTGTTCATCTCTAAAGGTCAATTCTAATATTCTGCGACACGACAGCCTTCGCAACCTCAGACACCCGACTATCTCAAGTTACCCTTATCGTTTCAGTTTTGAACACCCCTTTATTTATTCTCTGCCTTTGCTCATGATAAAAAAAATATTCGCATTTCAATAATTTGAGATATCGTGAAGACATATACACTGTGATATTAATGTCGACCCTAAATAGGTGCCTGCGATTTTCCCCATAGTGATTATTATTAGATGGAGCATATTTGAAAAAGATGAGTGGACATTTTAAACGTGGAGATCATAAACGGGGTGGAGTTGGAGGCCTGCATTGCGATCAGGGCGAGTGGTCGCAAGTTATAAACGCTCTCAAAAATACAAAGCTGTGAAGTTGTTGATGCAGCGTGGATGGTGCCCATGCTTTGGGACGTGACATCATACATTGATATCACTTCCTCCATTGCACTGGTGACGTTAGTGAATCTAAACAGATTTGTAGGGAGGACAGATAGAAGAATCTGCTTTACATTATAGTAATAATTGATTCTTATCGTAAGTTGAATTCTAGTTTTTCCAAATGGAAATCTCTAGCTCTTTGGTATTGTAATTGAACTAATTATCACACACATTAATTACACGAAAAAAAGAAGACTACAATAAAATATAATCTGCTTATGCAATGTAAACATTAATCTACAAATATTTCAATTCGAATTTTGCCCCCCTTCAATTTTAATTGTCTCCAGAATATACCAGCATAGGAGGTGCTATTTATCAAATCAGACATATAGTTCAAAGAAAGGCTACTTCGAATATTAATAAAACTTCGTTATAGTTGTCGTTGCCAAGATATTATCCCTATTTCAACTAACCCCTTTTTGCCAAGGGACCAAGCCTCTATCGTGGTGAAAAATCATGATTTTGAGAAGATCTTGTTCATGTTCTTGGTCACATCATAAGGAAAAGAAGTTTAAAAAAGGTTGTATTATTCGAGGGAAAGGTTGAGGGAAGAGAAGAAGAGAAATGCCACTGATATTATGGCAAGTTGACATTGCAAAATAGTTGGAGGAAGTTTTTGCTATTCAAGTTCATTCAGGTTGTTGACCGAGACGATGGCGTGCTCTTTAATGACCACACCTGCGCGTAGAGCGCCAACTGGCTTAAAAACAAGGATAAAAGAAATTTAACCGTTCTGCCTATTACAACACTTTGCGCTTCATAAAAAAATGTCACGAGTCGATAAAACAATATTATTTGATTAACAATTAGAAATGAGCTTACAAGACTTGACTGCCTTTTCTGCACTTCCTCGTTTTGTGAGCAAGCAAGCCCAGTCGGAGCCAAGCAATTTTAACCCTTCAAATACAAATAAAAAACATTACAAAAGACAGGAGATATAATTATATTGAAGATGCCGGTGGACCTAGCGAATTTGAATAGCAACAGCTTTTCACTTGGATGTCATAATATTAGGAGAGAAATTTCAACGGAGGTACCTTATTAGAGACCTTGACAATAGGCAATCCATGATTCGCATCATTACAGTCGAAAATCTGCTCGACGCGTATGACATAAGGTTAATCATTATTATATTGCTAGATTTGTAGTTCAGCCAAAAAGCAACGAGAAATCAAATTAAGTACATTAAATTTACAACATTAAATTATTGATTGATATAATTATAAAAGAACACTGAAAACACTCGAGGCTTTCAAGAAATAACATTTTCAAGAACAGCACATGGCAAAAAATAATTTTAAAGTTTGAATTTTCATTAAAGTTTCTTCTAAGTTGCATTTCAATGTTAAATCAGCTCTGCATTGAAAATGAGGATGGATGATTCTTATTAATTCACGGGACAATGAGAGTTATACATATGGAAACTAGAGGGAAAAGCAATGAACAAGGAGACGGACAAAATAGTTGCATTGAAAACATGGTTCTACCTGCAGCAGCAAAATTCCTGGTAACTTTCTCGTAGACCTTTGACCATGCAGTTTCCTGAAAAAAGTAAAACTTTAGATTCTACCACATGTACAGTGGACGCCAAAAACGCGAAGGAAATGAGGGGAGAAGCCTTATCGTTTTCTGAGTTTTCAACTTAACGAAAATCGGAGGATAGCTTAATCATGATCTTCACGGCCTTCACTTCTAAACTCTTTCGGTTTAACGCAGATATGAAAAAGGGACTTTCAAAAAGCAGAAATTCTTACAACATACAAAAAACTATTCGTTCTACACCTCCTCGAGCATAATTAACTTTCTCAGGAATGAGAAATAATATAACCAATGTGGATTCGAAAAAAGGCCAATCAGAAAACGCGTAGCACATGACGGTATAGTTGTCCAATCAGTTGCCGCGTGCCAAGAAAAATTACCACTGAGTCCAAGAAGAGAAAACGAACTCCCTCTGTCTACACAATGGCGGCTTTTTCGTTTGTATTGTACGTCGACTCCAAAACTGCTAGACGAAAACGATCGGGCTCTGCCAATTATCTGAAAAATTTCGTCATCATACGATTTGACATCTAAAATCTTGGTCAATCTAAAGATGCTGGCAAAAAGTTCCGCTAAAAAATTGTTCACAAAACACAAAAGTAGGTAAGGTCTTATGGCATACGTTTGGTATTACAAGAAACAAATCAATATTGTCATCAATCGTTTTTCATTAATTCATTATTTATCTGCTATACTCAATGTTGAATTCTGTTCTACCTTTTTGGCGACCTTTCCAAAGCTACATACGGGTGAAATGGAAGCAGCACGTTGAAACTATGATACGTGGTAACCTGTTGCCTTACAGTAATTACCGTTAAATTCTCACGATATGCCCCCCCCCCTCGAAAAAGCCTTCACTCTAAAACTACAATCTGTCAATAAGCCCTCCCCCCCTCGAATAAGCCCCCACTGCTACCGTTTATTCTCGAATTGGATCTCTCAATTTGACGGTTTTTGCCATCTGAGGTTGCCCATGGCGTTTTATTGAATTACCACGACAAATTCGTACTTTTGGTAGTAATCAATTAAATGCCCATAAAGAAATTCCTACTAAAATATACAAGATCTTTTAATGATGTCTTCTTAATGTCAACAATCATTCTATAAGCCCCCCCCCCCTCGTATAAGCCCCCCTCTTGAATAAACCCCTGTATATATTAAAAGTATTAAAACCAAATATATTAAAAGTAAATAAGCCCCCAGGTGGCTAATCCAAGGATTTACGGTATTTACCTTTAAAATCACAAAGTTGACTTCAATCTTGAAAAACGAGACTCTTGGTGATTTAATTAAAATAGAAAGTAGAGAGACAAAATATGTTACTAGGAAATAAAAAGGGGTTTACAAGGAAATTAAAAGGGTCCAAAGGTGTAATATATACCTAGCCTTTTAAGGACTCACCTCATCGCCGAGATCCATAGACAAGTCACCAAGCGCCATGGCAGCGTCCTCGTTCAGCTCATTCAGGGACACTGCTTTTTGGAAACATTTTTGGGCTTTTCTGTATAACGAAAAGTAACAGTTTGAAACAAGCAAACAATCTTTATCAATTTGAAGCAAAAAATGCTTCACATACAATGAGTATTTAAATACAAGCATATTCAATGAAAAGATATATGGGGTGAAGGTGACAGAGACTCAATTGAAACATTTCCCCTGACATTTCTGTTGATTATATAAACATTCCGTTGAATGTGACTTCTTGCTTGCTTTTTTTGCAGAATATTATCCTGATTTGCTCTCTTTATTAAAAGATCATTAATGCATAATTTTATGGGAACGAAAAAGAATGGCAAACAATTAATGACATATTGTCTTGAAAGGTGGCTAAATAGGGCGAGGCCTTGTGACAGGGCCCTTGTCACAAAGAGAGCAGGGTTTTGTCACAAAGATAGCAGGGTTTTGGCACAACGAGAGCAAGACTTCGGCACAATGGTAGGGTACTTCGAGCATTCCACAGCCAGTAACTTGTTCGTTGCTGTAGTTGATCATAACGCCCTAATAGTTAACCACTGTAGATAAGAGACCACAGCAAGCATCAGAATCGCCACTGTGACTTACCAAGAATTTTAGAAATGATCAACGCAAAGAATTGGAATTATGGCAAATAATATGCAAATATATAGAAATAATAAATTAAGAAACACATAGTTAAAACATATACGTATCACGCTATTATTGTTACACTGAGTGCTCAAGCAAAGCAAAAAGCCTTCGCTTATTGCAGTCTATTATCCGAGTATTCAAGACGGTTTAATTCATTGACCATAGAATGTATGGATGGAACACCTTCTGGGACTAGGTAAATTACCAAAAATTTTGGCCTGTACAATACCTTGAGTCTGCAACAAAATCTCTGTAATATTCACCGAGCGCAAAGAAAATATCCGAATTGAAAGGGTCCAGCTTAGCAGCCTGGAAAAGAAGGAAAATCGTATTCAAATTTCACAACAACTTAATTCTGCCAGGACCTATGTAATACCTCGGTAACTCACATCTTAGTTATTGATACAGAATTGACACTCTTGCATACGTCAAGCAATTTACCTCATCAGCGGAAGAATTTCATTTATTTTTCCTATCTTTTGAAGTACAAGGCTAACATTTAAAAGTAGGTGTCTATAAGTTTACTGAAGTTTTTGCAGTCTTATTAAAGTGAGTGTGAAAGTGGTGGCAAAGGAATAAGTAGCGGACTTTCACCGGTTGCCAGGTTCTAATGAAATCCCTGCATAGGTGAAAACCTTAAGGGTCTCTAAGTTATTCTAATCAAGCTATGTAAGAGCTCGGGGGTACCATTATTTACTGAGCCCGGGGGTACCATTATTTACTGAGCCCGGGGGTACCATTATTCACTGCCTCTAAAGAGTCTGGACCCTACACCGAAAAATTAGACACTAATCTGAGGACGTATAACAGGAGTATTTCTCATGATATACTGAGACACGTATAAAATTAAGTTTGCTAATGATGGATCGATGGCCTAAAACAGTATCGCAAAGAAGAGTTGAGAAGGAGTGTTATTATCGAAAATAACAGAAAGCTCAATCGAATGCAATGCATAGGGAAGGAACAAATTATATCTTAAAATGTTGTTATTAAGAATGTGAATTTAACTTTAAATCACTGTGTTATGTACAACGAAAAATAAGGTGCTGCTCAGAATTATAATACTTGATAAAGATTGTACGCTACTTCACGCTTGAAAAACGGAAGCATTACCTTTAAGAAGGAGCCGTGAGCTTTCCTCCAATATTCATCGCCTTTCTCACGCAGTTGCCAGTAAACTTTTCCAAGTAAATAAAAATATTCGGAAATATCTCCCTGCAGTTCCATTGCTTCTTGTAGCCTATAGAAAAAATATACTCGTATTAAAGATGGTTGTATGGCCTGTTTCAGTGATCGCAGAAGAAAAAGGGGGGACTAAGGACTTAGCCCCCAAATAATTTCTAAAATGCTCTGCAGTTCTAATACAAAAAATTGCCTGGTTTTGGCATGTTTAGCCCCCCATCCCTCGAAAACATCAGTGAACGGTTTAAAGTAAATTTTGAGAATTATTGGGGGAGGGGGGTTAAAACCCCGATTACCCCCTCCCACATCTTCAGTTCCTGGTGTTTTTTGAAGTCATTTATTAATTTTTTTGAAAGACTGTGATGCAGGAATAGTATTTTGTTTCAAAATTCACAAAGTTTTAAATATGTAATGGGAGAAAAACGAAAATAATTCATCGATCGCTAATCGATGTCATCTCAAAACCTGATGAGAATTTAATAGAAATTGTTATAACGAAAGAACCCTCATTCACCTCAATTCTGCATCATAATACTTTTCTTCGTTCATACTTATCAATGCCTATAAGAGAATAGAAATAGATTGAAAAACATCTACATATTCTCCAAAAAAGCCTTCGACAAACGACCTTCAATTGTCTTATTTCTGCAAATTTAATCAAAGTCTATTCTAAATTCATAAACCAATTTTTAAACAAATGGTCATAAACTTATGCAGCGTTGCAAAAAATGAATCTATTATTCAATAGTTTGAATACTTTTGATTCGAGAAAGGAGCAAAAAATTATCTAGTAGAAATTCATGTTAATATAATGATATATAATGTATATTGGGCAAGTTTGAATTTGTATCAAACAACCTTGATTGCCAGTGTTCCAGAGGCATTTTGTTGGAGTTCTGTAAGATGTTCGCAAACCTAGGGAAAAAAGGCTTTATAGAAACCAAAGGGAATTTTCAAATGCCATCTTTGATCATTAGGATCGGCTTAAAAACTCGAATTTCAAGGCGAAGTTAATTGAAAGAATTAATGGAATATTTATAATGGAAGTATTTATGTATGCAAGTTGGTAATATTATGCCTATTTGAAAAATTTTGAAAAATATTTGAAATTTTTTAGGTCTCATGGGGTTTTGATGTTTTGGCAAAGGAATAAGACAGCATTCATTTACAAAAACAAAAGTTCCCAAACAATCCCCATGAGCAAAAATCTCAGAAATCAAAACAAAGGAGTTGTCCTCTAGATAATTATAATAAACTTAAACACTTCAAAATAATACAAGGTTTTGTGAGTATGCTTCCTAACCTCGGCAGCTCTTTTGTTTTCTTTGAGGTATGCATAAGACGCTCCGAGCAAGTACAAACCATTTGAAGTCTTGCTCTTTTGTGTTATCTGATTAAAAAACAGTAAATATCTTAAAAAAGGAAAATTTCATAGATATACCGAATTCTCATACCTGAAACTCCTGTCTCGTTATAATTCTATATGTTAGATTTAGCACGATTATAATTAAAAAAGATTTTACTAAAAAGAAAAAACAATATGTATTGATCGTTCCTAACAAATGAGGAAAATAAGAGTTTCAAACAGCAAGTAAGCGTAATCAAGCATTTGGGAAGTTGATAAGAGCCAAAATGCGACTGATAAACAAAATTGTAAACAAGAATAAGTAAAGTAATGCCAGACCTCGATGAGAATATCCTTTGCCTCTTCATACTTTCTCATTTTCATGAAACACTCGGCTTTACATTTACTGCAAAAAACGATTAAAGATCTTATCAACTACCTCCATAATGATAGGGTTCTGAATAAAACCTGCACCAATCAGAGTATAGGGATAACTTCGAAATTTCCTTTGCTAGTTCGTTTAGCACAGAGAAAATAGGGACTTAAATTCTTGACACGAAGCGAAGGCTAACTTGTTGAAACAAGTGTGAAAACTTTTGACATGCTCTTACAAGTTATAACACTCTCTCCATAGCAATCTCTGTACATCGATGGAATTATAAAACGTTTTTCAATTACCCCAAACATAATCATTATCTAACAGACCTTCAGTTTAGATTGAATTCAGGTGACAAACCCTTTAGCTCATTGAAAAATGATGGAAACGCCCATTTTCAAAAATTCAGTTTTAAAATTTAAGATAAAAGAGATAATAAGATAAATAAAGTAAAAACTTGCCGTTATTTGATTACTACTGACTACTCAAAATATAATATTTACCGAATTGAAGCAACATTTGCCTATGGATAAAAAATATTGCGGGGGAGGGGGGGGGTGGTGCATCCCCTATACCCCCGGCAAATCAGCCCCTGACAATTCTGAGCTACACACTTAAGTGTGGTTCATATATGACTGTATGTTGTAAATGCTTTCGAAAAACATAGCAACAATAACATTCACGGAAAAACAAGCCAGATTCTTAATACCTAAGCTCTTGTTTATAGATTTCTTTCCCAGATTCTGTCAAACATCGACCGATATTTTTCATCCCTGTCAAAGAGAATGGAGTGATACACTAATTCATGTACAATTCACTCTGTAGTTATAATTAAACCTGAGGAGACTTAATAAACATGTAATACATGAATAAATTTGAGAGACAAGGCATCTATATAATGGGCGGCCTGTCAATGGTGCTGGATGCGGTATAGGCAAAGCAGTGGTGGACACAACAAAAGATCATTGTCTTCCAAAATATTGGGGGGGGCATCACCCCCTGCCCCCCAGGTGTCTGCAACTGAGGCTGTAACGTGCTTAGAACCTTCCTGTTCTACACACCGAAAGCGTAATTCAATTCAAATCTAACACAATAGGGCCTAAAGATTGTGCAAGTTTGAAAAAAGTAATGACCGATATCCGAGATTCAACCATCAAAACAAATGCCATTTGATAAAATTGTCAGGTACATAGAGCCACAGATTTTGGACTGCATACGTCATGAGCTAAAGTCGATTGAAAATCAAAATCATTTAAAAAAATCAATAACTGAATGGAATTCATCCAAAATGCATCTGCAATGCATATTTATTCAAACTGTCAAAAAAGGGATTTAATATTTCAATTTTGTCACTTTTTTTAAACAATTATTGCTATTCTAGTTTAAAACATGCTACTTAATCATGCTACTTGTATAAATTTCTGCTACATGCAACTTTGATAAACTTAAATTTACAACTTCAGGGAAAATACATTCGTTTAAAACATACGACTTACCATTCTTTATGTAAGCCAACGAGTCTTTGGTTTCGTATAAATATAGATGAATTTTCGCCATCAGAAGCCAATAGAGAGCAACAAAGTCTTTGCTTGCAATACCTAGATGAAATAACCGATAATTAACGTGAACAAGAATTTGCGTACAACACCTAGGTGACATAAAGTAAACAAGATTTATTTCAACTGTAATTTTAATATTTAGAGTAATATATAGTTGTGTATCTTAACATAATATCATAATTATGATGACGATAAAATATCAAATATTAATGAAGGTATAATAATGCATATATATATATATAGACTAATGCATCATTAAAAAAAAGGCTGGATACTAATTTCTGATATCAGATATCAACCGACTACAATAAACTGATTTCAAACATATTTGCTTTCTAGATTTGGGCCAAACAAATTATATGTCTTGGCAAATATACAAACGCAACTTGCTCCAGGTATTATAAAATGCTAATTTCAACAATTTTTTTGTGGTACAGAATTTGAAAATGGCTTTGAAAAAAGCAAACATTTCACAACAAAATAACTTAAAGCTTTTTCGTCTGACACTCCGTTTTGTTTGACAACTCGGTTTTGGAGTCGATCTACATACAAACGAAAAAGCCGCCATTGTGTAAACAGTAGGAGTTCGTTTTCTCTCTGGGACTCCAGTGGTAATTTTTATTCAGGCACGTGGCACTTATTGGATAACTATACCGGTCTTGTGCTTGGGTTTTTCTGATTGGCCTATTTTGATCCACAACTGGGTATATATCTTTCATCGGGTTCTTTCGGACCCTGATTCTGACGTTTTATGCTCTGAGGAGTGTCAGACGAAAAAGCTTCTAGTATGTTGTAAAATGTTTGCTTTTTTCAAAGCCATTTTCAAAATGCTAATTATAAAAACAGCTTAAGAAATCTATACTGGAGACAACTGATGCGTATTTCACAGTTTGATACAACAAGTGGAATTGATGCTAACTGATAAAAGATCGTATTCACCTTGGACTGGCTTTAGAATTTTCAGCGCAGAAAGCCATTGCTGTGTTTGGACCTCAATGAGAGCCATGCCAACAATACCAACAAAATTAGCAGCATCGATTTCATGAAATTCTTTGATGAGCTTCGCAGTTTCGTCAGAATGGTCTTCTGAAAATGTTAATTAAAAATATTCGTAAAAAGATTTTTAAGACTTAATAAAAAATGAAAGCAACTCAGAATATGATAAGAAAATAACATAAGAGAACTGAAACACTTAACGATATGAAAAAGAAAGATAAAAACGGGAATTTCTGCAAAGCTTTCACGAGAATTTCTATAACAATTAAGATATATTGTCATAAACAAGAGGTGAAAATAAACAAAACATTAATATTTTGTTTCAAAAGGATCGTTTTTATTTGTCTTGCAAGTCGATATTTTTAAAGAACTATAGTTATTGAAGCAACTAAATCTGACATATCTATTTAAATTGTATTTTGGCTCTGCATTGACCTGTATTCAGTGACAAAAAATAGGAAATTATTTATAATCTTTGTTATGGTGTCCCGCCGTAATTTGAATCTCATTTTTTTGAAAAAGAACTGCAATTGCAATCAAATTTGTAAATATTGTAGTCTCACTTCTACATTTTGCAAAATATTTAAAGCTTCACTTGTATTTTGGATTCGATTTTCTAAGACTTCAATTTCAAGTATTTATATTGTAAATATCAAACAAGCAGGACCCTAATGATAACTGTTTATGTATACAGTTTTACCCTGTAAAAATAATCATAATTATAGTTTTTATAAAAAAGAAATCTAAATGATTTTACTCTACAAATGTTGCTATTTTTTTTATTTTAGCATTTTTTGGCTTATCTTAAACATACCAGGAGATTGTTCAAAGCGGATTCTTATCTTAAACATACCAGGAGATTGTTCCAAGTGGATTCTTATCTTAAACATACCAGGAGATTGTTCCAAGTGGATTCTTATCTTAAACATACCAGAAGATTGTTCCAAGCGAATTCTTATCTTAAACATACCAGTAGATTGTTCAAAGCGGATTCTTATCTTAAACATACCAGGAGATTGTTCCAAGCGGATTCTTATCTTAAACATACTAAGAGATTGTTCTAAGCGGATTCTTATCTTAAAAAAACCAGGAGATTGTTCAAAGCAGATTCTTATCTTAAACATACCAGGAGATTGTTCCAAGTGGATTCTTATCTTAAACATACCAGGAGATTGTTCCAAGCGAATTCTTATCTTAAACATACCAGGAGATTGTTCAAAGCAGATTCTTATCTTAAACATACCAGGAGATTGTTCCAAGTGGATTCTTATCTTAAACATACCAGGAGATTGTTCCAAGCGAATTCTTATCTTAAACATACCAGGAGATTGTTCAAAGCAGATTCTTATCTTAAACATACCAGGAGATTGTTCCAAGTGGAATCTTATCTTAAACATACCAGAAGATTGTTCCAAGCGGATTCTTATCTTAAACATACCAGGAGATTGTTCAAAGCAGATTCTTATCTTAAACATACCAGGAGATTGTTCCAAGTGGATTCTTATCTTAAACATACCAGGAGATTGTTCCAAGCGAATTCTTATCTTAAACATACCAGGAGATTGTTCAAAGCAGATTCTTATCTTAAATATACCAGGAGATTGTTCCAAGTGGAATCTTATCTTAAACATACCAAGAGATTGTTCAAAGCAGATTCTTATCTTAAACATACCAGGAGATTGTTCCAAGCGGATTCTTATCTTAAACATACCAAGAGATTGTTCCAAGCGGATTCTCATCTTAGACATACCAAGAGATTGTTCCAAGCGGATTCTTATCTTAAACATACCAGGAGATTGTTCAAAGCAGATTCTTATCTTAAACATACCAGGAGATTGTTCCAAGCGGATTCTTATCTTAAACATACTAAGAGATTGTTCCAAGCGGATTCTTATCTTAAACATACCAAGAGATTGTTCCAAGCGGATTCTTATCTTAAACATACCAGGAGATTGTTCAAAGCAGATTCTTATCTTAAACATATCAGGAGATTGTTCAAAGCAGATTCTTATCTTAAACATACCAAGAGATTGTTCCAAGCGGATTCTTATCTTAAACATACCAGGAGATTGTTCCAAGTGGATTCTTATCTTAAACATACCAGGAGATTGTTCCAAGCGGATTCTTATCTTAAACATACCAGGAGATTGTTCCAAGTGGATTCTTATCTTAAACATACCAGGAGATTGTTCCAAGCGGATTCTTATCTTAAACATACCAGGAGATTGTTCCAAGTGGATTCTTATCTTAAACATACCAAGAGATTGTTAAAAGCAGATTCTTATCTTAAACATACCAGGAGATTGTTCCAAGTGGAATCTTATCTTAAACATACCAGAAGATTGTTCAAAGCAGATTCTTATCTTAAACATACCAGGAGATTGTTCCAAGTGGATTCTTATCTTAAACATACCAGGAGATTGTTCAAAGCAGATTCTTATCTTAAACATACCAAGAGATTGTTCTAAGCGGATTCTTATCTTAAACATACCAGGAGATTGTTCCAAGTGGATTCTTATCTTAAACATACCAAGAGATTGTTCCAAGCGGATTCTTATCTTAAACATACCAGGAGATTGTTCCAAGTGGATTCTTATCTTAAACATACCAGGAGAATGTTCCAAGCGGATTCTTATCTTAAACATACCAAGAGATTGTTCCAAGCGGATTCTTATCTTAAACATACCAGGGGATTGTTCCAAGCGGATTCTTATCTTAAACATACCAGGAGATTGTTCCAAGTGGATTCTTATCTTAAACATACCAAGAGATTGTTCAAAGCAGATTCTTATCTTAAACATACCAGGAGATTGTTCCAAGCGGATTCTTATCTTAAACATACCAGGAGATTGTTCCAAGTGGATTCTTATCTTAAACATACCAAGAGATTGTTCAAAGCAGATTCTTATCTTAAACATACCAGGAGATTGTTCCAAGCGAATTCTAATCACCAATTCCAGAGCATATTTGTTGGTCGGGAAATCGTGAAGCAATGCAGTTCCTTTTTCAAGTATTCTGTTTACAACAAACATCGATTTTTCTTTATCTCCAATTTCCTATAAAACAAAAACACAATTGTGGACACTGTTCAGAGAATAAAACAATGGATACTGACCAAAATATGGAAGTAAATTTATATCCAGGATTGAACCGAAATTTACGTGAAAGGAAGAATGGAGTTTGATTGGTTCCCTGTTTTTGACCAATCAGCGGTCACTAACCTCCCACCTAATTGGAGCGTCCAAGAGAGAAAAGTAACTCTTTCTGCCAACGCAAGTCGGGGTCCTTTATTTTGATGTACACAGATTCCAAGAGATCATAAAATCACGAGATGACTTTGCTTGCCCAATGAATTTACAATTGTTGTTACTCAGTAGCGTAGCCAGGGGGGTGGGGTAAGATTGGGGGGCAAGATTAGGGGGCAAGATTTGGGGGCAAAGACGAGTTGAGCTAGGGAAAAATGCGGGTCCACACCTTTTGGAAAGCCAGAAAACGCCCTTTTCACAGAGTTTGGTTTCCATGGGGGGAGGGGGGAGGCGGGCTGCCCTCATTACTTACTCTATTGCTGTTAAATTTGAGGCCAAAAAACTTTAACAATACCCGCAAGCACTGTTTCAGCTTCTTTAAATGTCCTTCTTGTATCTCTTCAATATCCAGCCCAAGTACTCTGCTGTATTCCAATGCAGACTGGAATGTGTTCTCAATCTGAAGACAAAATCTATCATTAGGATGTGGATGTGGAAATCTTAAGAAGAGATTGGCAAATCATAGGATCATGTTGAAAATATTTTACACAAGATAAAGGCAAGGAGTTTGATGCTATCTACAATAACCACCGCTGCTTTTATATCTTCTTGGTTAAGTTTACTGTTCGCACAAACTATGAGAATATCAAAGATAGGCCTTGTTTACCCTACACAAACAAGCCCTGGCTACTTTTCGAACAGGAGTGAAGACAAAAAATGTTTTTGCAGGAGTAAAGTAGTGATTTTTGCCGACAAAACTGGCGTGTCTCACTATTTAAGGGTGTGGTCAAAAGACAAAGACACTTATATGCTGCTTTTATGGGTTTCTGTTTCAAAGTTCATACTTAAGTGCCATACATTGAAAATTCGGCTCTACTACAGAAATGTTAATACGTTACAAGTGTTGCGAAAATTGAGTACAAAAATATAGGGTAAGTACAAAAATTGTTTCTTTTGACTGTGCCATAATGTGCCGATGGACTAAGTGTTGGGGGTACTGCATCCAACTTTGGGGACGCCCCTGTTTTCGAAAATGCAGTCTGAATGCGAAACTAAGGCAAACACAAGTTTGTTTCATTGATTAGCAAGCGTACACGTGTTTAAAACAGCACCAAGCAAGCATATGTGTTATAAATAACCCAGTTTCGTCCCAGATCAGCGCTTGAACTACAAAACCTAATCAGCCCAGGTCAAACTGACGATAGACGTTGCCTTTCCACTCTCTGTTCATCTCCTTCGCAGAAGTCCACTGGAAGGAAACAAATACTCCTCTCTCAAGCTAAAAATATATTTGGAGCAAGTCTAAACTGACGAGGGCTGTCTCAATCTGGGGCGAATCCGGACTACTTTATATACGGTAGCATAATGCTACATCTGTTACTCGTCCTTCACAGTAGCGAACTCATTTTCCTCGCGAAAATGTGTAACAAATCATGTTTATCAGAATCGCGTTTGCTTGATCTGAAGCAAAATCTAAGTGGAGTTTTGGAAAACTTTTCTCATTTTGATGAAAAGTTTCATTACTCGAGGGTCTTTCAACAGATTATCAATTTTTTTTATTTTTTATATATATTCGGTATAAAAACTTACACAACAAATTACCTAAAACAGTACGCACGAACTACTAAACTATATTACAAGGACCGAACCCAGGAGGAGCAATATAACATGACTGCCCCCTGGGATATGACATGTATATAAATATAACTAATAATACTACATATACATAAACTAGATTATAATAATACATATATAGTAAAACACAACATATACATAAACGGTAAATACTACATAAGTAGGCATATGAAAAGAGAGACTTGGTGGCAAGGTAACAGTGACAGTAACGAGATTATCGATTAAAAATAAAGCAACAAAACCAATTGATCAGTTTTTTCAAATATCATTCCAAACAGTTTTACCTGTTCTTGCAACTCTAATGTAATGTCTTCTTTCTGCAGCTGTTAATGAAACAATTAAACAACGAAATTATCATGGCCTTAAAGAAGTTTGATAATTAAAGCGGAGCTGCAATCTGGGGACACCTCCTAATAACAGACAGCCAAACACAAGTGACTTTTTTAGCCAAATTTCTTTTCTCACTTCAATGCAATGTATGTGTCACCTCCTTATAGGCAACTAACATTCAAATAGTTTGCACTCTTCAAATAAATTTTGATCAATTGAATTGAAACTATAATCAAACATGGATGCCAAAAACTGAAACTGTGGCCCTGTTGAAGCTATGGATATGGATCGGATATGGGTTAAAGCTATGGATAAGTTCTAAACATTACTACAAATGATTAAAGAAAATATACAATAAAAACAAACCTTTAACATTAAATTGTTCAAGCCTCTCTGCCAGTGACCAAGTAATTCCATAGATGGTTCAGAACTAGCTCCTTCCAGATCTTTCAAATTTGACAAGGCCTAAAATTTCCCAGTTTTCTTACTGATAATTTCAAAATACAAAGATATTGTATACTCAAAGATAACAAAATAGCAAATTATTTGCTGGCAAAGAAATAAAAGATTATGTTCAATTCTGACTGATTTCTTTTCCAACTTTAAAACAGCAAGAACTATAACCTTATTTTTACTCTAAATAAATTAAACTTTTACTGTTGGCATTTTTACATAAATCTTTGCAGACAAGCTGTCAGATTGCCTTAAAACTTCAACTGAATACATGTTTTCAGTATTCTTTTATTTTTCATATCTATACTGGATATTGAGAAATATGCAAAAATTTCCATGGGCACCTCAAAATTAAATTTCATTGTAATTCAAGTTCATTCTGACCATAAATTTCAAAATTGTTTTTTTTGTAATTTCAAAATTTCAAAAGGCTGAACATGAAATATAAAAATACCTCTGATGTCATATCTAGCGACAGTTGCAATGGTATTACTTTTGCCAACAATTCCTTCCACCTGCTCATATCACTGTGATATAAATAAAATCAGAAATAAGTAAGCAGACTATATTTTAAAGTTTTTATGAAAAACTAACTGAAAAGTTTTAGCCAGCACGCTATTCTGAACATATCTTATCTTCATAAACATGTAGAAATACAATTCAATGAATGTATCCAAACTTCACATTTTCTTGCCTCAAACATAAAATATTATGTATTAAAATCATGCAAGAACATAAATTAACATAATGTAGAAAAATAAGAACAGGTTAGCTAAGGTTATTGTCTTTTAACATACACAACTGCCCACCAGGATATATTTGCTGTTTCACCTCTGAACAATGAAAACAATTTGTTTGCCTGTTTTATGAGTGAATCAATATAAAAGGAAAAAAGTTATCTATGGTCTCAGAATTGTGTTTCACTTGCTTCACTACAGGGTTGTGGAAGTAGGGGAAGGGGGCTGAGGGGGCTGAGGGGGCTTGGTCACCCCAAAAAACATCAAAAATGTATTTGAAACCATACAAAAATTGCCTTGCTCTTGATTTTTAGCAGGTTTTGCTTCCCAAAACTTTTTTATCCTTTCAATCTATAATAAGCTCTAACATTCTTGCTTCATTGTAACAAACCTTTTGCTTCCCTGAATCAACTTTGAGTAGGTCTTCACTAGATCTTCTTTCCATTCCTCTTTGTCTGCTGCTTCATACAAGTTACAAAGACCCTTGAAAAAATTTGTTTCTCTCAATAAAAATAATATGATTATAATACAGAACAAAGCTGAAAAAGATTTCAAAAATCTGCTATGATGAACAGAAAACCTCTTGAACTTTGTTATGAACAGAGAATTCGATTTGACTTAAACATTTTGAAATGAGAATGAGGTAAATTAATGCTGGTTTTGCTGCAGTCGTTCATCAATGACATAGGTTATCCATGCTAAACAGTACCTCATTATATCATTTAAAATTTTCATGATTTTTCAAACTGAATCAGGGACACCTTAGAAGATTTTGTAAACAAAAATTCAGTAAGGCTTTTCAGGTTGTCCTTTAAAACTGTTTATGGGTTGTGCATACAATCAAACATGTTTTTCATTGATTACCTTTAGACCAATGGCTTAAAGTTTTAGTCAAATTTACTATACAAAATCTATGTTTATCCCCCAGCCTCAACTGAGTACCTTCTCCAATAAACAATTCCAACCAGAAAGCCTCCTCATGAGATAGGAGTTAAGAAAAATTTAATGGCATGTTATGATGTTGTCTTCACATAATCTCAATAGATGTTAAGAAAAATTTAATGGCATGTTATGATGTTGTCTTAACATAATCTCAAACTTCTGGCTTAGTGTAATTATTGCAAAAGTTTGTTGCCATTCCAATCTATCATCACTCTGACAGTTTTATAGAACTGCCAACTTAATTTCCCCAGCTTGAAAGCATTCTATCACTCTCAAAATATATTGAAACAAGCCTCTCATTTTAACACTACAGTCCTAGAAGCAGTGAGTAGTTTTATACAACTAAAATCTTAGAAAGAGCAATTGAAACAAACCCTTAATAAAAGACATGCAAGGTCTGATATTTAACATCCCCTTTATTCATATTTGGGGTGTATACAGTTTGTATAGCAGATATATCAACATGGAGCTGGGGAGGGGATGGGAGATGAAAAATCTCAGCATGGTCAGTCCAAGACTGTATATCAAGTACCAAAATATCTAAATGTCAACTTTTCACTGGCCATTATATGCCAGGTGTGAAATATGTACAATTTTGGCTACACAAATCTCAATGCAACAGCACATTATCAGCAGTTACCTGTAAGCAAAGACAGTTGAGCCGCAATCAACAATGCTATAAACATGTATAACAAACAGTTTTGATATCAACGTATATGGGAAAATTATTAATTTAGTACAAAAGCAAAATCATAAAAAGACAGAACACTTCTATTTGCTAAAAATTAAGAACAATGTAAGACAAGCCTCAGAAAAGTTAGGAAAAACAAACAAATGAAGTTGATGAATGAGCCTGTTTATTGAATGGAGTAGATTTTATCAACCCTGCTTCTAGGACTGTCATCATGAATTAATTGACACTGTAGGGCAGGCTTGAGTGCAATCTATCTACATCCACATTGATACTGAGCAGGACCGAGTATCGGTATAATGCTCAGAGTGCAAGAAATAATGAAATAAAAGTTTAATGGATAAAACGTGCTAGAAGATGCCACTGATCAATGATTGGATTGATTGAACATTTACATGTCAAATGAGAAGCTGTAATTTTGTTTGTCGGCAAGACCAAATCAAAAAGGGACTGAAAATTAAAGGGGACATTGAGAGGGTATTATGGTAATGGATTGGTCAGTGGCATGCTTGTGCAAGTTTTGCAGCCTTGGTTATATGTTTCAACCTTCAAAATATCAAATTATTAGAACAATAAGATCCTAAAACATATCAAAGTTTAACTAGAAATAAAATTCAAAGGAAATGCCAGACTTTAAAAGCAGTATATAGTGTAATAAATACCTGCCAAGCAAGTAGCTGTTCCACATTCTGATCTATTGCTTTCTGGTACGCAGCTCTTGATTGCTCAAACTGCTCCATTTCCTTGGCACAGAGACCAATGAAAACCAAGGCATGGTAATTGCTTTTGTCAATTTTGAGCACATTCTGTTGAAGATAGAAAAGCAATTCAACAGAATGTGTTATGAAGAGGAAAATTATCTTCCTTATTTGACAAATTTCATCATTGAAATTAATACACCTTAAAAATTAAAGTAATAACACCTGTATCATATACTTGAATGACCCTAAAGCTTATCAAGTAAAGCTTCATGATCCAATGGCACCCAGACATAAACATTCATTCATTGAGGGTGCACCTAAATTTAAGTAAAAACAAGCTTTATTCGTTTTACATCTGGAAAAATTGATAGTTCTGGTGGATCTGGCATCTTAGGGTAATTTTTGCGCGCCTGCACGTGAGGTTCGGGCTGTTGGCGTACCCAAGACCGTGTCGAAAAAGGCCATACACGATACACACTGCACTTCATGCCTAAACGGCAGAGTTACAACTAAACTTCAAAGAAAGTCGAATACATTTTTCAATAAAGTACATTACCTTACAATGCTTGAGGGCCTCTTTATACTCTTTTTTCTTTATCTCTTCTTTTGCAGCCTTCAGTTCTGCTGTAATTTCTTTGCTCGCAGCTTTTCCCTGACTGTCCGCCATGACTGCATCCTTGTCGAATATTTTCTTGTTGCTTGAAAAGGAGGCTAATTCATCGAGAACGAGACATATGAGGTACTTCACGAATTTCCTGGGTCAAAGGTTGCTCGAGAAATTTCTGTCGTTTATGAAGCAAATTTTCCTCTTCCCAAATTACCTGCACGAATTCATTCATCGATGTCGGAAATTTGTGGTGATGACGAAGACAAATGTCCACTATCATTCTTTAGCTTTCTGCCTGACTTTTCTCACGATTTTGTTCCACACTCAAATTGAAATGCCTGACTGATGCGAAAGTCCTATGATTTTGTCCTATGAATATCACATTGACTGAAAAGGAAAATATTTTTGAAAAATTGTATCTGGGAAATTTTTATAGGATTTGAAGGGTGGTCATGGCAAAGCGTAGCATTAAGGGGGGGGGATGATTCTTTCATCACATGCTTACAGGATAGGCTGCTCCAGGATTTCGTGCGTTGAAGAGGTTTTCCCTGTGCAAACATTTTTATTATTATTATTATTACTTTGCCATTTTGAGATATATTCATATATACACTTCATTTTTTCAAGTTTGTCCGTTGATTTTGTGATTGCTTTAGTATTTGCTGTAACCAAGGCTAGTCAGCTGCAAACTACCTGTGTCATAGAGAGGTTTGCAATTGTAGTTTAATGAGATTGATAATAAAAAGTTTTTATTGTAACAGCCAGTGTCGTGATAGAAGGCCGAATGGATCATAAACTTTGTCGAGGGTCTCACAAGGGGTACTTGCCCCCGTGTTCCTGTTGAAAATGAAAAATGTTCCCTTGTTCTATTAAACTAGCAAAAATGTTCCCATGTTCCCAGTGGAAATTTAAGTTGTTCCCGTGTTCCTGTACAATCTGTTGTCACGTTCCCTTGTTCCCGAAAATCTCTGGGAGGCCCTCTTTGTTTCCGTCTGGCTTTTTCTATGGCAATTTTTAATTTTGTTTATTGATATGTCATCATCAAAACAATTTAAATGCCCCCTTTTTGCAATGTTTTTTACCCTGACCTCTATGTTAGCCCTTTCTAACCCACCTGACACACCCACCCGCTGACCCCCATCCTAACAACAACTTGACGTCAATGCCGCAGATATTACCAGTACAATCAGTTAGTTAGAGAGGTTAGACGTTTCGGTCACAATTATTGCAAAATGAAGAGATTATTTTCAAAAAGATTGTGGAATCCTGCAAGGATTCTTGCTAGGAGTTTTTATGAAGGAACTGCTTTTGAGCCGTTTCATCCGATACCAAATCGTAAGCCAAAGTTCATGTCTGCCGACGAAGCAGTGAAGATCGTCAAATCAGGTAATATGGCCTAAATCTCTGGCGCGTAAAATTAGATTTTATTCATATGTTCTCGCCGTAAAAGCATTTTTATTTAAGCTGGCAAATGATGCAGTAAGCTGAAAATCATAAGAATTATCATAAAGTACTGCAAATTGTACAACAGCCGGTTGCAAAACTTGAAATGGAGAAGCCGAGAGGAATCCACCAGATCTTTCGTCGGGGATTAAGCTTGAGCCATTGAGCAGCTAGAACGCGATTTCCTTAACGATCTTCCGTTGTAATAAGCTAACATCTAGTTTTTTCTAGAGTATAGATAGCAAGCGAGGAGTATTGGAACAGCTTAAAAGCTGCAATCAGAAAAATCTGATAGTGTAGTACAGCAATGTCAAAGGGCAGAATCGCTGTGACCTTTCATCGGGGACTGTAATCACTATGTGCTCCGAATAAAATAGCTAGAATATTGAGATCCGATCCGTGTAAATACTCGCTTTCCTTTTTCACTGAAGCTGCTTTTGTAACTTTTTTATTCATGCATCGGAGCTTATTTACCAATTAACAGCAACCTGCTGGCCTTTAGTTAGGAATTTGTGATACCTCAAGTTTCACTTCATTTTTCACAAGATATATCTGTCTGCAGTCTCACTTTATAAGTAGTCTACTTTTGACCTAGAGTTGGTGAAATTTGACAAGTTAGTTCCAAATTTTATGAAAGATATTTAAAACAATTATTAAATCAAAGCTTATTATTGAGATGCCCTAAATGTTTTATAAGAATACGCAATGTTGAATTGTGATTAAGTTTGCAACTAATAAATTGAATCAGAAAATTTAATGGACTTAGCCAGAATACCTATTTGGAATATTTCATGACAAGCTTGTCTCATCCTTAGTGGGAAAATTATTTATTTAGTATATATATTCTCTTTTATAAAGAAAAAACTTCGTAAGAATATAAAGAGGCTCTACATGCCAAAATAAGAACCATGAAAGAACTGCCTCAGAAAAATAGGGAAAACTGTTAATCTGTTAATACTTACTCTCCTGTTAATCAAATGAAGTAGATCACTAAGAAACCTTGCTTCTAAAAAGTTCATGCAAAGCTGTTATTTAATGGTCTTTAAAACAATTCATAAATAAAATTGTTCAAAAATCAATTTTTAAAAAGATAAAAATAAAGAACACCTTAGGATTAAATAATTCAAAAATTGAGAACACCAACCCCGTGGAAAAATTATTGCATTGTTATGTAAGGAAAGTGCAATCCACTGGAATCCATTGAACTAAGTTTGTGCTAGGGGTGGAAGTTGCAGGGGAGTGGGGGGCAAGAGGTTTAGGTAGATTATTGGTAAAAAATACAGTTTTTATCTCTTTTGAGGGTGAATTTGGGCATTTATCATCAAAGTAGCTTGTTTTTGTAGGTTTTGCCCCATTACCAAGAAAATGGATCTCTGCCTCTAGTTTATGTTATTTGTTTGTGTCAGGTCATTTGTTAAATGTTATTATCATTGTTTTATTTATAGGTGATGTTGTCTTTGTTCATGGAGCAGCTGCCACACCCCTGCCACTCCTTGATTCGTTAGCAGCACATGGAAAAGCATCACAGCTCAAGGATGTTCAATTGATCCACATTCACACAGAAGGACCTGGTGTTTGCCAACAACCAGAATACAACGGTATACCTACAGTTAATAGTTATTCTAGTGCCAGTAAAATTTTGGATTTTGCTATTCAGAAAAAGTTATTTATGAGTTCAGAAGCAATCCACTTCTTCAATTCATTTATCATTTATAATCATTTGATTGTTTCTTGGTTTTGTTCTAAATATGCTTTGTATATCTTTATCATTATCAAGTCTTTGTAAATCTTTATGAGTTATTGATTCTTACATTTTTTCTTGCTTACAAATTATATCTTTCAGATTATTTCAGGAGTTTTTTCTGATGATTTTTTATCATTTGCAATGTTGACATGGCAAAATATCAATGAATTGCATCTTTCCCCGATTTGAAAATATTTAGTTGGATTTGCATCATAAAAATTATCGTGCTAATGCTATGTGGAGCGATGTAGCCTTAAATTAACAAAAACAACCTAGAATAAAATTTTAACCACTTCATGTATTAACTTCCAATAAACTGTTAAAATGTTACCCCTGACATGCAATACTTGACCTCTGACCTTTCAGATTTTCTAACCATTGGCATCCTTTGTCTTTCTTAAAATAGGTATATTTCGTAGCACCTCCCTTTTCACTGGTGCAAATTGTAGAAAAGCAATCGAAGAAGGAAGAGCAGATTATGTACCCATATTTCTTGGAGAAGTCCCTCTTTTGTTCAGAAGAAATGTGGTTAATATTGATGTTGCACTAGTGCATGTAAGTGACCAATATTTCAAATGAATCTTGCCATTTTAAGAATGGCTTTTTTAATTTTACACTGATTATAGTTTCCATATTATTGTTTGTCATAAATAACATATGCCCCTTGTTTTCTGTGATATTTGTCTACTTTATACAACTGAAATATGATTCTATAATTTCATCAGTCAAGTCAGTGCTTTAGGGCCATAGTTCTAAAAAAATTCAATGTCAATGCACTTTCATAAATACCAGTTTCTTAGTGTTTTAAAACACCAAACTTTGCATGCCTTGTTCGATTACACTCATGGTCCCCGAAACCTCGATTTTTCAACTCTTTGAATGCCCAGTGATGAAATCTGACCAAATGACTGGCTTGCTTCAAACAGATTTGCTGTTGTCTTGTACTCCTGTATGTCGTGTACTGTTTTGTGCTTTGTTTGTCATCTTTTTGTTTGGATACATGCCTCTGTGATGGAAAGATTATGAGATCTGAGGGCTTTTTGTAATTCATGCTTTGTTATCTTTACATCATATTGATTGCAGAGCTGGATTCACGAAGTTCTTTTCTGAAATGTTGAGTGAATCAGTGGCAGAAATTTTTCAGGTGGGAGGGGGGATGGGCAATACCCACAAAAACAAGCAAATTGCTGACAAACAACATTTCTTTTACCAAAAAAACCATGTCTCAACCAACAATTTAGCAAAACTAGGGAGGGGGCAGGGGGAATGGCCCTTGGAGTGGATGTGAATGTTAGTGAGAGAGAGAAAGCCATAGCACTACCACAACCATGCTACTTGTTGGTGAAACACTTCTTGCTGTTGATAATGCTTTTTTACCTTTAAGGTGTCACCTCCAGATACCCATGGATTCTGCTCATTAGGACCTAGTGTTGATTGCACAAGAGCTGCTATTCAGAATGCCAAATACATAATTGGTAATGTCCTTGAATATAATGAGGTCACACCTTGTCATATTCAATGCTTCTACAAATACTACAATCTTCTACAATGTTAGTCTCCAAAAAGGCTTAGCCAATGACAGGATACACCTTACTCTCACTACAATACATCTACTTTACCTAACTACATATAACTACAGATGATATTGGTCAACGTATTAGTAGTCTTGGCCAGGGCATTTTTTAAGAATTTTCTACTGGTGGGGCATCTGAGAAAAGGGCATATAGATGAAGGCAGAATTTACAGATAAAACAGGCTTTCAAAAATATTCTAGGGGAATCGCCTACAGAAGCAGCAGTTCCAGGGAAAAATGAATTGAGATTTGAAACCTGTTCAATGAAGATTTCATCCATCAATATCTCAAATAAAATAAAAAGTAAAAAAGTCACCGAATCATAAGGGCACTTAAGTGGTGGAACAAACATGTTCCACTGGTGGGGCAATGAAAGGGGCTGGTGGGGAATTTCCCCACCAATTTATATGTTAAAAAATGTCCTGGTCTTGGCACAAGAGCATGTTTTACTTTTACTAAGCTTAAAACTTGATACTTAGGCAAAGTCATAAACTTAAATTCTGTGACAAACTTTTGGTCACCATGAATATTGGGTCACTACCAACTTTATTGATGAAATTTTCCTCTAATTGCTTTTCTTCTGGTATGGTGAGCATTTCGCTTCCCTGTAGGTGTTAAATGAGGAAAATCATATTGTGTTTTCTCTGTGTTATTAAGCTGAGTTTTATTCTGGTATCAGCCTTAAAAAATAAGTTTTGTCGGCATATAGATTTATATTTTTTATTGATTTCCTACTAGAATTAGTACTGGCAGACTTAACTTGACTGAGATTTGTTAATACATACTATCCAGCCTCATTGCTAGCCATTGCTCAAGGAGGGTTTTCCAGTCCTATTTGCTGAAAAATGAGTGAGCCATCCTTTTTTTTGCCAATAAGTTTGCTGACTAAGCAATCTTAGATGGCAAAAAGCTCCTCATTTTTTAAATGGAATTTTTTCTTGGGGGTGTCACACAGGGGGTGTAACAACACACAGCCCCCCACCCCCCATTTGACAGGCCTGATACTATCTTGCTGGAATGTAAGCCATGAAATATAGATTTATCTCTCAAAAACAATATTTATAACAAATTTAAGGTTTATATGAAACATCGCAATACACCGAGAATAAACAACAATGAAAACACGTAAATCAGTAAAGGCTAGCCTTTTATCGACCTTTCGCCACAGGAACTCCTTGGAGCCCGTCGAGCAGCCTGCTACAGTGGCCTTTTCTCCATTCACAAATTAAGATTTATTGACCAAGTCTGAATATTTTTCTAGGCCTATGCAACCCACAGTGCCCAAGAACATATGGTGATGGGCAAGTGCATCAATCACACTTAGATGCGTTTGTTTATATTGATCATCCTTTGCCTGTTGCTCATAAAAAGAAGCCATCAAAAGAAGAAAATACAATTGGAAATTTAATTGCTGAAAATTTGGTTGAGAATGGTGCAACCTTGCAAATGGGTAAGGGTCTGGTCTTAAACAAATTCTCAAACAAAGAAACAAACTTTCTGTTTTAGGATGAGTGGGAATAACCAATTAAGACAAATAAATATTGCATAAACTTTGCAACCAGTAACAAAACCAATTTTTAACCAGCATTGTTTGGAAACATACATTACTGAAAATATGGATTTTTAACATAGGAGGTGCTCTCTCCTCGATTAGTCTATCTACTGAGAGAGCTCCTCCTTTAAGGAATTCCCCACATACAGGTTCTATAAATGTTCTCTTTCTTAGTTTAATTTCTAGTGCCTGTCGTTTGTTTTATCTCTGTTTTATTGTACTTGATGTATTCGAACTTGTATGTTGTGTGAATTTTAAAATGAAAACTGAAACTGAAACATTACCAGGTTGAAAGGTGCATATTAGAAGCAGAAAGAAACATTTGCAACAATGATGGAACTCCTGACTTCTTTTCCATTTCCAAGATTGGTTGCTAAGATTGGTGTCCAGGATACAAAAATACGAAATTATTAAAAAGTATAGATTGGAGCCAGCTTTGGTAGACACTCTGGATACCATTGGCATGAATGTTACAATAAAGGTATAAAATGTATGCCTTAAGCAGAAGTTGTATTGCAGTAATAATTTTTTGGCATTTTAGGTATTGGTGCAATCCCAGATGCTGTGCTGGCATCACTCAAGAGCCATAAAGATCTTGGTGTTCATACTGAAATGTTCAGTGATGGGATTGTTGATCTTGCTCATGAGGGAGTTATAACTAATGCACAAAAAGTCATACATCAAGGCAAAATTGTTGCTGGTTTTGTAGTTGGAACCAAGACAGTGTTTGATTTCATCCACAATAACCCATTTGTAGGTTAGTTTTGTTTATTGATTCTTAAATTTGCACAACACCAACCTAGCTTATAGCACTGGACACAATTGGTGAAAATGAGAATCCCTTTTAGAATTAAGCATTGAACTAAAATTTCCCTGTTTTAGGTGCTCATCCTTTAGCTGGAGTTTTGATTCAGGCCAGCAATGGCCAATATCTGTAACAGGCCATTTCAATTGATGGGAACGATCACTCGCAATCGTGTCAGCACTCACACAAACAAAACCGTGGGAGCGTTTGATCGCTCGCACAAAGCGGTAAATTGTGAGAAGTAAATGTCAGCATCAACAAGGGAGGCTTAGCCCCCCTGAGCCCCCTTAGCACAACACCCCTGCAACAATATCTATGATGGATTTTTTGGCAAGAAAACTTGTTGCGAGACAATTCTGTTGCGAGTGATTACAGAGTATAGATTTATAACTTTATCTACTGAGACATAATTGCAATGATTTTATTTCTTTTGCTAGTGATGTGTGACATTTCATTTGTCAACTCAACTGCAATCATATCAATGAACCCAAAAGTTACTGCCATCAATTCTTGCATCGAGGTTGACTTGACAGGACAAGTTGTGTCTGATTCCATTGGCACAAGAATTTACTCTGGTATGTGGCAATCTCATATCAACTTATGGTTATTTTTTTCAAAAGCACTATGTTCTAATGTTTTTGGATGGCAATGAAAATACCCACTGGATAGACAAATAGGCCTACAATTACTTATATATCTAACTAACAACATAAGAATAATTCTTAAAGCTCTCTGCATCATAAATTCACACCAGAGCCTATTTTTGAATAGCCATCTGACACGATCTTTCTAGAATCTTGTATTTAACCATAAAATTGCATTCAACTTGCAAAATAAAATGTATTGAAATGTATGTTTAAAACACATGTTTAAAAAGAAAATTGTTCTCCATGTCCTTATTTGTAGACAATATTAAATGTTTAATGTTGAACTGAGCAAGGAAATTAACAAAAATTTCAACAGCTTGTTCCATGAGGGAAAACAGTGGCATACAGAGGAGAATTAACATTCAATGAATTCACTATCCTATCAATGCTTGCTGGCAGTTTATTTATCTACCAGCAGCTAATTTCAATAAATAATTTGAATCTTCTTATCTCTAGATTCTTATATTCAGTCATGATTTTTCGATTATTTACAAATTGTATTTTGAACATGTTATGTTTGTTGAATCATGTATCAAGAGCTTGCCAAATTGTGTTGTAAAGTGTCTTAATATTTTGTAATAAATTTTGCAGTGATTTGTCAAACCTATTAACAAGTTATTGAAGGAAACATGTATTTGAAAACTATAGGTGTTGGGGGACAGATTGACTTCTTGCGTGGTGCAGCTTTGAGCAATGATGGAAGGGGAAAACCAATCCTGGCAATGCCTTCAGTAACAAAGAAAGGAGAATCTAAGATAGTGCCAGTTGTCAAAGAAGGTATGAATTAGCCTATGGAGTTTTGCAGTTCATTTCTCAAGAGAGATACTTTGTAATAATTTGGGTAATAATACTGTTATTCTGGTCATCAAAGCTTATGTTGGGAATAAGTGTAGATATATTTATTCTGTGTTAGATAAAAAAGACTGTTGCATAAAGTTTTCATGCATCTCAGGACCAACTTAATAAAATCCCTGTTGATAGCCTCATAAAGTAGCCTGTATCTTGTCTGCACAAAAAACCTTTTATGAAGTAATAAGGTGATGGGCTCAAAAGCATATTTGGTTTATCAAAGTCCAGGGCAATGTTTGTGTACCTTGTGTAGCAGCTTAAATTTATAAATCTTCAACACTTTTAATAGATTTGTAATAGGAAATCTTTGGCTGAATGATGTGAATTGGAAATTTGAACTTTCTTTACAAGAAGGCAGAAGGTTGCAATAGGAGGGCATCAAACTCCTTGTACCCTCTCTTGTTTTTATTGTGTTGTAATGTGGGTGTAGCTGCAGTAGCCGAGTGGTTAAGGCGCTTGACTGCCATGCCAGCACTCCAGGTTCGATCCCGGTTTGCGGACAGCCCTCAGTCAACTCAGCTGAAAATGAGTACCTGGTTGAAACATACTAGGGAGGTAAAAGCGGTGTGGCAAGGAACTGGCCACCCTACCACACAATGCCGTGGCCCAGGACGATGCACCCTTAACAGTGCATTCCCCAATGTTCGATATTGAATACGGGACCAAAAAAAATTGTGGGTGTAGTTTTTACCTAAGGTGACATGGTTTATTGCATGTTCAGCTGTTATGTGTTATATATTTTTATTATCAGGAGGAGGTGTTGTCACATCAAGAGCACATACACATTACCTTGTTACTGAGTATGGCATTGCTTACCTATTTGGCAAGAGTCTTCGACAAAGAGCATATGCACTGATACAAATTGCACATCCTGACCACAGAGAATACCTTGAACGCTCTGCCTTTGAAAGACTGAAATGCATGCCATCACCCTAGATTCTTAACAAATGAGATCCAATTAGAATTCCTTTCACAACACAATTTATTGATTTACTCATGCTGCTAGTAACAAGATTGAATCACTCCTATTCACATGCATTATAATGCTGTAAGATACCTATAATTCAAAACTTATGTATCCTTTAATTTGGAGACATGCAGAGGCAATTGCTGGCAGGATCTATTTGATGTTTCTATAGGTTATTGCACAGTAGAGAATTAAGCATTCTAGAGAATAAGCTTAGAACTTCAGCTTAGCCAGATAAAGCTATTGATAAATTGTTGTAACAAAAAAAGATAAAAAAATTACCTGCATTTATCTGAAAGCCAGTGGATGGGAGTTTTTTTCATATGGAATAAATTTATCAATATTAATCCTTGTATGTTATTAAAGGGGTTTATTGTATTTTCATATGCACTTCTTATAACCTGGTAAATTATTTAATGTTTTGTAGCACACATTTAAGTAGCTAAAGTTCCTTCAGGAAAATTTAAGATAATTGATAATCACACTTTAATATCTTTAGCAATTATAGTAAATTGTACCTCATTTTCCTTTATTTTATCTTAAGTCAACCCATGGCAATCCTTTAAAGTTTCACATCAGATGGACATTTACAATAAAAGCAGTGTTTAGAGCCCTATAAAGAAATAAAAAGGTTTTACTTCAGCAAATAAAATTAGTTACATCTGGTTTTGGGTTTTTTTTCTGAAACATGCTGTTAGCAAATTTTCTCCAAACCTTTGAAACCCATCTCTTAGTAAATTCAAGGCCACATTTTTTGGCAGCACATTTTCTTAATAAACAAATTTCTTCTTTGACAAATAATTCACAAATATTGCTTCTTTAACTAAACTATGTTAACTAACACTTTCACATTTGAAATAGTAGACTATGTCACTTTTTCTATTGATAATCATAATTGTCAGTTTTAAGACTTTTGGTAATGAATGTACTAGTGTAATGCTAATATTTGCAAAAAAAGAAAACCATTACATTTGAGCTCTTTTTCTGGCTTTTAGCATCCTATTTACCTACATATAGTCTTCCCAGACACTCACCATGTAATATTTCATATTTTTAAGATTTACTCATAGTGGTTAGCAAAATGGTTATGCATAAGTTGGTTATGTCTACACTACATACAGTGTTTACCATTTTATTAGGCTACTATGATATCAGGATTTACATTGTGTAGGAGACTGGAGGTTTCAAAACAAGGTTTAAGGTAAAAAAATGGGATAAGAAAATCTCCTAGAATCGAGGTGTGTACCAGATTCAGTTCTAAAGCTATACCCAGACCAATATTGTTTACAAGACAAAACACACCCACATCCTTAGGAAACAGAAACCATCTTAGCATAGCTTTAAGCTTACTGTAAAAATGTAATAATGGCATATTGTGCTTAAAATTTTCATCAAAATTTACTGTGGAAAAAGTAAGAAAGGTCGCACCTGCCTTTTCTGTTAACTTTTCATGATATCAGAGCAGAAAATCAGAAGTAACCTAAATTTGAAGCCATATATTATATATTTGAACTTTGCATCAAGCAATTCCCAAAACCGTTAGTAAAATTAACACACCTCTTTCAAGCAGATGCATCTCCAGCAAATAATCTGAAACTGTTGAACTCTTATGACCAGGTAAATACAACAATTTAAATTCAGACAATTAATACAAAAAGATAAAATTAATACAGTAATTATGAATAGGAAAGCTTATGTAGAAACAATTATATATAATACTCTTAAGTGTGAAAACTGTGATGTCAGGTAAGAATGTGCAGGACAGCATTATCTGCTATGGTAAAGATGATTCAGTTTTGAAGTTACGATTTTCAAATGTTGCATTTGTATATCAGTTAGTTAAGCTTAAAGAGCTAAAATACTATGAACATGTAATTGAGCCTTTACAAATAGTTCTACCATTTTGGATCATTAATGACAAGTTAGGTTCAACTGGCAGAGGACAAAGGACAAATATCAAAGGACAGAAGACAAATGTCAAAAGACAAAAGGGTTGAGTTACCAATAACTTTGATCATGAGGTTTTAATTTAATGATTCTAGGATACAATCTCTTCGCTTGGTTGTAATATTTTGATAGTTCAAAGCTGCAGCAACTTTATTTAGACACAATAATGCATGAACAAATTCTACAAGGCTTGGTGGAAAAGATTTTGAATTTGAAAAAAAAATTATCAGGTACTGTTTGATTATCTATAAAAAGTCTAAATTTGTGATTATGCTTGTGTCTATTGGCGATTTCAGCTGAGTGATCTTAATCAAAGTCAATCAACAGCAATCATTCTGCAAATGATTCCACTACAATTTACCCAAGTTGATTATGCGATGGCCTTTGCCTCTGGAAGGTATTCTTCCCAGTACTTAACCATCTAAAAAGATTGAATAAACAATTAGGCTTACTTTTTCTGGTGATTAAATTGAATCAAATTTATAGAGTAACTCATAAATTCTAGAAACAAGCCCAATTTACAGTGATTAGATAGGAAAAGTGCCTGTCTTCATGTGGCCTTGACTCTGTTGATTTATGATAACACACTCGACTGTTTACAATGCGCTCTTTAAGATTTCTGTCACAATCAAAAACAGTTCTAAGGAATTCTATGTTCTCACCACGAAGCCATTCTGTTTACTTTTGGCAACATCCATGCACAGATTGATAAAAATTAGTCATAATGCACAAGTGAATAAATCAAACTATTTTTGATGTTTAGTGAGCTGTTGGTGTTTGTTAAAAAAGGACAAACTGATCTATAAAGTATGCAGTTTGACATCATCTCATCAGGCCTTGCGAGAAGAGCGCTTGGGCTCAATCAAGCACTGCCACACACACCTAGATAGTTCTAGTAGCTTGATAGATCGAGCACCTAGAGTGTTTATGATGCAAATAATGAATGCTATTTGAGGGGATTTTTCAGACTTGTGTAGAATAACCTAAGACAATTCAATGTATGGTTTACAATAAAAGTAGAAAATAGAAACAAACCTTTTGTTGACATTCCATCATAGATTCCAGATATTTTATGATAAGATCCTTGAAATCATTAACCCTGCTTACCTGAATAGCAAAATAATATGATGAGAGGAAATAAAAAAAGTTTCTGCCAGTTTATTCAAGCCTTTTTTTTGAGACAAAAATTTTTTGTCTTCATGGAATTACTGAAACATTAAATATTTGAAATAAATCTTGATTTGTATGAAATAAATTATTAGTGTGATTAACCACACAATGGCAACTTTTTTGTGACGAGGATTGACACAGACCAAGCCTGCCGAGAGCCACTACACCTTCAAAGCAACAATTACAGGTAACTATTTTGCACTTACCTCAAACCGTTTATGTTCTTTTTGAATTGTTTTTGAAATTAGCTCAAACTCCTCTTGCCCTTTCTCTACTTTTCTCTCCCACTACAATTTGAAAAAGAACCATTTAAAAAGTTGTTAACAAGATATATTAGGCGATATCAGAAATTTTGTAGAATAGTATGTATATATATGAAGTATGCTTAAAAAGTATAAAATTGAACCAATCTATAATAATGGAACCAATCAAGTATAAACTCCCAATGGCATTTAACAGAAGCAAAGGTGGTGGCATTGTAAAGATTTAGCAGGCCCGTCAGAACGGGGGGGGGGGGGGGGGCTGGGTGGCTGGAGCTCCCCTAATAATTGTCAAACTGTAGTATGTTTCCTTTGTAACAGTGTACTGAACGAGAAGGAAAACAATGGGCAGCCCCCCAATATGAATTTCATTTCGACGGCACTGTTTAGTAACATCAAATTATCAGCCAAGTGGTCAATAGACTTTTCCCCTTATTAGGTCATGGTGCAATGCATTCTGGTACTTTAAGTTAAACAGATGATAATGCGATAATGTTATTTGGCAGCGTGGCTCTTACTTTACATTTCCCTGTGCCTAGTATGAAGTGACTTGGTTTGGAACAATTCCCTAAGTACCCTACCCTTAAGGGTGCACTTGCAATCTCAAATCCATCCAGAAGTACAAAAATTCAATCTTTAAATAACATTGTATACAATCATGCAAACACAAACTCTTCTCAATAAACCAATGCATTCCTGCTTAGCTAGTCTTTGATTGATATTGACAAAGGCGAATGGAGAAGGGTCCAGTTTTACTCGGCCTTTTTGTAATTAACCAATGCAACAGTTTATGTCTGAAGATGAAGCTAAGATAGTTGATTGAGTCTGTTTAATACACCTTTCCCCTAATTAAGTCATGGCGCCATGCATTCTGGTACTTATAGTTAAACCCACAAACATTTGTTCAGGTTGTATACGTGACCGGAGTTCTGTTATTCTTCAACACTATTTGCTCAAATGGTCAAACAAATCATGAAAATAAGGCAGAATGTACTGAACAGCACATCCATGGTTCTTATCAAATCTCTTGCCCGGGAATTTATGTTTTCCAATTAGGCGAAAAAAAGGACAAGAAGCAGTTCACTCTTGATTGACAAGAAGAGGATATGGGCCTCGAAAGATATGCAATTAAAAGGAAAGGTTGGACCAAGTCTTTAAGGTTTATAGCAAACCTCTGAAGTGAACAGCTCAGTGGAAGACTCCTCGATAATTCTGTAAAAATACTAAAGAGTGGAAGTGCACCTTACGCCTGACAACAAAAGAAGTAAAAAACATAAAACTGATTTGCTTATTTGCTAGATATTTCTATTTGCATGCAGCTGAGCTGTATTTATTTATCACTTTTTCCTCCTTCAATACTCATAAATTGTCACTGCCTTTGACCTGAACATTTCCATTCTTTCTGTCTATCTGCTTTTTTTGCCCTTACATTTCCCATATTTCACTTTCCTAGTTGCTTGTTGTAGGGGAAGGTGAGGGGTCGGGGTGGGGGGAGGGGTGGATGAGGAGGGGGGAAAGGATTTTATTGAATATACTCAAAACTCTCTGATTCCTAGTTTGGAATAGGGGCCACTTCTCTTGTGACAGCATAAAGACAGTAGCGGGTTCATACCACTCCCCCTCCCCCTTTTTCCCCCTAGGGAGTTTACCCCCAAGCATTTTGTTTCTCCATTCACATCAATTCATCCCCATTCTTGTAAAGGTGTACGGTACTTTATTATTATCATTCGTTATGTTGATTAGTAGTGGACATTTTAGGACAGTTTAGGACAGTAGAGAACTGGGACCGAGTTTCAGTTTTTTTTAGTTAGATCTTCGAGAGCACGAGACAAGATGGCGAATCTTAGAGTTTAGCGATTTGTGTGCGGCACATTTCCGTACATACGTGGCGATCCTGCAAGAGACACATACCGGGAGAATCATGGCAAATCCATCAACAGAAACAGCAACAGGAGATGGGCAAAATTTAGGCCCAGAGATTGATATCGAGAAGGAAATAGCGAAGTTGAATTATTATACAGAGCAGACAGATGAGCTCATAGAAATTGGAGACACAGTAGAAATGGAGATAGCAACAAATAGGGTGAAGGTAATCCACAATAAGATAATTGATTTGACAGGGAGAATTGAAGAGATGAAATTAGAACAAGGGGAATCATCTAGGTCAGTTAGGCAGTGGAAAAAGGATGTGAAAGATAAATATACAGGAATGTTAGAGCAAAATGAGAAAATGTTGAGAGCTTTAACACAAATAGAAACTCAAACAAGAGAGGAAGGTCTGAGAAGGGAATTTGAAAGGAAGCAAATTGAGCAGCTAAGGGAAGATAAGAGAATGCTAGAAAGACAAAAGCAATTAGCAGACGATGAAGAGAAAATAAGAAGGGAGAGATACTTACAAGAGAAGTCTTTATGGGAGGAAAGAATGCATGCTGAAATTAAACTTGCAGAGAAAAAGCTAGAAATGGAATGTGGGGCTAAGGCAACCTTTTCAAAACTGCCAGAGCTGAGAGTCACACCATTTAAAGGCACAATAGCTGACTGGATAAGATTTGAAAACATGTTCACAAGTCAAGTTTTAAGTAAGGGGTTTAGTGATGAAGTTAAATTTGGATATTTGTTAGAGATGGTGAATCCCAGAGTGAGGGATAAAATTGCAAATCTGAAACCAGGAAAAGTTGGGCTTGAAACTGCCTGGGAAAGGCTCAAAAAGGAATATGGGCAAAGGAATGCTGTGATAAACACACACATTGATGAAATTGTGAATCTACCTACCATAAAGGGAGTAAATTATGAGAAAATTCAAGAATTTTATGACAAGCTCACAAAGAATTATGATGCCCTGCTGACACTTGATGAAGAAAACATGTTGAGAGGATTTGTGATGACAACATTAAACAAGCTGCCAAATGTCAAGTCTGATTTGGTAAGGCTGGATGATGATTGGGAAAGCTGGGGGATGTCAAAGCTTATTGATAATTTGCAGAAGTGGTTGAAAAGAAACAAAACAGAGGAAATTGGAAAGCCAGTGGAAAAAAGAGAAAAACACTGGTATACAGGTGAAACAAAGGAGAAACACTCAAGAAAATGTATTTATTGTGATCAAGATCATTGGAGTGATAAGTGCAAAACACAGGAAACTATAGAGAGTAGGAGGAGCTTCTTCAGAGAAAATAAGCTATGCTTCAACTGTGGGAAAAAAGGACACAGGGGGGATAAGTGTCTAAGTAGGGGGTGCTACTTTTGTAAGGCTAAACACCACAGCAGCCTATGTGAAAAGCAGAAAGGTGAAAGTGAAAAAGGTTCAATTTTAACAGGATTCACACCTTCTGTGGAGGAAACACTCCCACCAATTTTGCCTCTAAGAATTGATGGAAAGGTTATTTGGGCATTCCTTGACACAGGTTCAGGAAGGAATTTCATTTCTAAGGATGCGTTAATGATGCTCAAATCAAAACCTGAGAGATATGAAACAAAAGATGTAACAACTATCAATGGAACAGCAAGAAAAGCCATGCCAATCTTTCAGATGACCATAGAATCATTAGACAAGAAAGCCAGAGAACATATTGAGGTTGCAGGGGTAGAAATGCATGATTTCACAACAGTCAAAAGGCCAGATTTAAGGAAATTGAAACAGCAGTTTAGACACACCAAAGACAAAGAATTCTACATAACAGCATCAGGGGAACATAAAATTCACATGATTATTGGAGACAAAACATACAGCAAACTGAGAACAGAGACAGTTTTCAAGGGGAATGATGATGAACCAATTGTAGAAGGCACATCATTTGGTTGGATTATTCATGGAGGAGAATTTTCTAGCACAAATTGCATGTTCACCAGAGAGCTTGGAAATGAATATGAGAGATTATACAGCCTTGACATACTTGGGGTTGAAGACAGGGGAGAAGATGACCAATTAGATGTTTACAAAGAGTTCAAAGAGAACATTTCCAGACAAAATGATGGAAGGTATGAAGTTAATGTTCCATGGATACCAGGAAGCAATTTGGCAGAAACAAATGAGATGCAGAGCAGAAAGAGATTGAAAAATGTTGAGCGCAAACTGAGGCATGATGAAAAACTGCAGAAAGAATACACAGAAATTGTTGAGAATCAGTTAAGAGAGGGAGTTGTGGAGAGAGTTCCAAGTGAACCATCTGGAACAAGAATATTTTACATGCCTCACAAACCAGTTGTAAGAGAGAGCGCTGCTACCACAAAGGTGAGAATGGTATTTGATGCTAGTGCACGCCCAACGCCAACAACAAACAGCATCAATGATTGCATGTACAAGGGACCTGTGTTGCAGCCAAATATTTGGGACATTATGGTCAGAGCAAGAATGACACCATATCTGCTGCTAGGAGACATACAAAAGGCATTTTTACAAATTGGAATTAAATCAGAGGATAGAGATGCATTCAGATTCTTATTCACACTGAGTGGGAAGGAAGAACACCTAAGATTTCTAAGAGTCCCTTTTGGGGGGGAAGCCAGCCCATTTATGTTGGGGGGAACCTTGCAGCACCATTATGAGGAATTTACTAACACAGAGCTAGCCAGTACCCTAGAAATGCTCAGAGAAAATACATATGTAGACAATCTGATGTGTACAGGAATGAGCATTGAAGAGCTTCAAAGATTTAAAGGAGAGGCATCTGAAATACTAGAGGATGCAAAGTTTCAAATTCATAAATGGGAATCCAACATAGAAAGCCTAGAAAGTGAAAATATGGAGAATCCAAGCAAGATTTTGGGGCATGTTTGGAACAAGGAAGAAGATACTTTGATGATACCCATAAACAAAGGGGAAGAGGATAAGGTCTCAAAGAACACTGTATTGAGTCAATTAGCCAGAATTTATGACCCCTTGGGAATCATTTCACCAACCCTAGTAGAAGGAAAGAGAATCTTCAGGGAGGCCTGTGATGAGAACAAGGGAGGGGATGCTGAAGTTTCTGAACCCCTTATGAAAGATTATTTGAGATGGATGAGACAGCTGAGAGAATTAAAGATACCAAGAACTTTAATAAGAGAAATAAGAGCAGTTGATGCAGTGAATTTACACATATTTGCAGATGCAAGTGAAAAGGCATGCTGTGCTGTGACAATTGCAGTAGTGGAACAAGGATCAAGCAAAGTAAAGGGCTTACTCACTTCAAAGTCAAGAATTTCAAAGAGAAACACTTCGATAGCCAGACTTGAGTTGGTTGGGGGGCAAATGGCAGCAAACATGGCCAAGAACATTTGCAAAGCATTGAAGAATTGGCCAATAACATCAATCAATGTGTGGATGGATAGTATGGTGGCCTTATTTTGGATAAACAATCCAGGGAAACAATGGAAAGCATTTGTAGCGAACAGGGTGAGAAAGATTACAGAGATAGGGAATGAAATTGGAATAGAGTGGAAATACCGCCCATCAAGTGAAAATTTAGCAGACCTAGGCAGTCGGGGTGCGAACATAGAGAAAATGGTAGAAAAGAAGTGGTTTGAAGGGCCAGACTGGCTGCTAAATGAAGAAGAATGGCCAGAACAACCAGTGCTGAAGAGTTCAAAAAGAAACTTGGAAGAACAAAGACCAATTAAAGAGGCAATCTTATTCACAAACGAGACAGAGAGTGATGAATGGGATAAGCTTTTAGAGCGTCAAAGCTATTGGAGAACACTTAGAACCACATCATGGTGTTTGAGATTTATCAAAAATTGTCTTGCCAAGAAGAGAAAGGAGAAGGTAACAAGAGGACCTCTGACCACAGAGGAAATTATGAGTGCAAGAGATCATTGGGTAGTAAGAGAACAAAGATACATTATAGAGATGAAAGAAACACCTGGATGGAAATTGATAAGAGACGAGAAAACAGGTATGCTTCGATGCCAGGGAAGGATTCAAGGGTATCAACCAATCTATTTGGAGAAGAGTCTCTTTACTGAGAAACTGATTCGACACACACACAGGAAAGTTATGCATATGGGAGTAGCAAATACAATGGGAGCACTGAGAGAGACATGGTGGATACCAAAGATGAGAACATTGGTCAAGAGAGAAATCAGGAATTGCAATGTGTGCAAAGTATTTTCTGCAAAACCATTTGAAGCACCAGCAACAGCTGCGCTCCCAATGTTTCGTACAGTTCAGAGCCTGCCATTCCAGAACACAGGTGTTGACTTTGCCGGGCCTCTCAAGTGAAGGGGGAGTACAAGCAAAGAAGAGATCAAAGTTTACGTGATTATTTTCACTTGTGCTGTGATGAGAGCAGTTCATTTAGAGGTAACAAGGTCACAAACTGCTGAAGAATTTCAGAGGAAGTTAAATGCGTTCATTACAAGGAAAATGAGACCAGAGGTCATAGCCTCTGACAACGCAAGTGTTTTCAAGACAACAGCTGAGTGGATAAAATTGATACGAAAAAGTGAAAAATTGCAAGACCATTTGGCAACTCTAGGCATCACTTGGAGGTTCAACTTGTCGAAAAGTCCCTGGTGGGGGGCGATGTATGAAAGATTAATTAAGGATTTAAAGAAGACATTGTACAAAACCCTTGGAAAAACGCATTTGCAATTTGAACAACTGGAAGCAGTCATCATGGACATAGAGAGGCATTTGAATAACAGGCCATTGACATATGTAGAAAGTGAAAGTGGGGAGGAGCAAGTGCTAACACCTAACATAATCATGTGGGGGAAGGATTCACATACATTTGAAGATGTGGAGGTAGACGAAGAAAGAGTGACCAAGATGTATAAGAGATCGAAGAATGCGAAAGAGCACGTATGGTCACGTTGGAACAAAGAGTATATCAACAGTTTAATGGAAGTGCATCGTATTAACAGAAAGAAGAGTGCATGTCTGCCACGGATCGGAGAAGTAGTACTAGTTGTTGGTGATGAAAGAAATAAAGGGCAGTGGAAGAAAGCGAGAGTAGAAGAGCTTGTGAAAGGAAGAGACGACGTAGTCAGGGGAGTGCTTTTGAGACACAAAGGACATCTCATAGAGCGACCGGTTCAAGCTATCTGCCCATTGGAGATTAGTTGTCAAGCGAAGGAGTCACAGACAGTGGAAACAATCAAAGGAGCAACTGATGACAAAGTCAATGTGATAACAGCTGAAACAATCAACGGAGCAATCGATGCCAAGGCCAATGTGACAACAAGAGAGAAGAGAAGAGCTGCGGTGGATGCAGAAGTGAAGACAAGACTTTGTTTTGAAGAAGATTGAAGAGGACAACTGCGTACCGTAAAGGTTTGATAAAATTTGACTCAAGTATGTTACTTTACTCAAATTTTAGGGGAGTTTGTGTACGGTACTTTATTATTATCATTCGTTATGTTGATTAGTAGTGGACATTTTGGCAGATTAGCAGAGAACTGGGACCGAATTTCAGTTTTTTTTAGTTAGATCTTCGAGAGCACGAGACAAGATGGCGAATCTTAGAGTTTAGCGATTTGTGTGCGGCACATTTCCGTACAAAGGCCAGTTTTCAAACCTCACCTCTTTGACTTCCTCCTGTGCAGCTGGAATCTTCTCTTGCTTTCCGGCTAACTCTAGCTTCACAAGAATCTCTCGTTTCTTTGTCAAAGTAGCTTGAGCAGATTGCCAATTTTGGTAGACCTTCATTCTTTGGTGGAAAATTGCCTAAGAAAAAAAGGAGAAATCCAAATTGCAACACAAAATATCTCCCTTTGCAAAGAAAAAATCTAAATAAGATGAAATGAACTTCACAGTCTTAAAGATAATCTCTACATGAGAATAATGAAAAGCAATTAATAGGCTTTAAGTTAATGTATATATAAATATAGAATCAACATTTCATTTGCATCCAGCGTTGGATTTGCAAAATATAATTTTATCATTGTTAGTGTTCTTTATTTGTGGCCAATAGAGTACTAAAGTGATGAGGTCACAAAATTCGGTTTTTAGAATTTTTCACTTTTCATCTCATAACCTGAAAGAGCATCATGAAATACCTCTTAATATGTCAAATCTGTAGAATGTGTTGCAAATTGGAGGAGATATGGCCGCATGAGTACAGGCGCTTGCCCAATCAAGCCTCTGTAATTTTGTCTTTATGAACCAGGGCAGAATAACAGTAATCTAGGTTAGCAAACTTAAAGTTTTTCATTGGCCATTTCTCACCCAATTTTGAATACATCTAACTGATTTTGCATAATGAGGGGTATTTTATGCTGTTCTTTCAGATTATGTGGCCAAATTTAAGAAATTCCAAAAATAGATTTTTGATGATGTCACACTTTGGTACTCTATTGGCAACTCCTTGACTTGGACTGCATGTCCACACATTTAAATAAGTTAGCAACATCTTTAAAATAAAAAAACAAGCTTGATGTTTCCTCCCTCTCTTCCTAACCCCTCCTCCCTTTCCCTGCTAAGGGCTTAGCTTTTCCTTAGAATTACCAGCTAAAATCTCACCTTGACAGCCAAAATCAACCCAAGATACTCTTTGAGTGATTCACAAAGCAAAAAGAAATCTATGTTTGACTGTAAAATAAAAATATTTGATTTAAATTTTCACACAAACCAGCTGTTTTAGAACAGACATAATAAAAGAGTTTTGCAAAGTAAACAATATGTAACCTATGAAAACAACAGCAAACCAAGTTAAAAACAATACCTGAAACAATGTAAACAGATTCAAACATTGATCTGTTTCAGTAGGTGCCAAAATAAATATCTAATACATATATAAGTTTTCAAAGATAAATTTCTAAAGAATGCCTTAACGTTTTCAAATCATAGAATTAGTGGTAATGAAAGTAAAAACAAAATTGAAAAAACTGACTTGGTCATGGTGAAGTTGTTCCATCTTTTCTTCCAACTCTGCTAATTGACTCAACGCTCTTGACAAACCAGTATGTTCTTCAGAGCTACCTAAAATATGATTTCAAGAACAAATATCAGAATTAAGATTAAACTGCATTGAAATCATCCAGACACAACGAAGAAATATGATAAGAAAAAAGTTAGACATCTTAAATTCAGTTTTCACTTTAGTTTCTTTCTAAAATTCCATTAAATACAAAACTCTTTCAAACAGACAACTAACTTAAATTATAGCAAAATTACAAAAAGACATAGAAAAGCTAAACATGAAATATTACAGAAAAATAGATTTGTATCCATGGGAATTTCTTAAGGAAGTGCTTTCTCAGTACCAAAACAAATTGTAGAGAGAGTGCCCCTGTAATCTGGTTATTTTCATTCTCTCATTGATAACTGCAATGGGACAAATGTTCTTATATACTTACTCAACAATGAAGCACTCTTTGCAAAATTTGTAGTATTTGTTACAACATCTGAAAATAAACAAACAAGCATAACATATCAATATATTCTTAACTATTACTAATAATTAGGTTTAAAAACCACTTTAATTAGGTTAATTACTCATCTCTTAAATTAATTTCTCCTGGAAAATCTAGAGGCAATGCCATAATTAAATAAGGCTTGTGAAATTTGTAGCAATGCGTTGTTAAAGTTATAAACGCTGTTTTTGTTTTTGGAAGTAATAAGAATCAAAATTAGAAAAATCCCACATTTAAGCACATATTTCATTGAAATTCTCTTATTTGTTTCCCTATGGATGACTTTTGTTATGTTTCCCTATGCAGAAATCTTTTTTAAGCTAAAAGGGGGTCATTGCAGGGACCAGAAAAGGGGTCATTGAAGGGACCAGAAAAAAGGGGGTTAAGAAAGAGTCCAGGATGCTTGGTGATTGTCACCTGGGACATCATTCTGGGGGAAATTTGCATGTTGTCTGTGATGTTAAACAAATTAGATTTGTATCATATTCAAAAACTATTTATCATAAAAATTTGGAGAACATATTAATTTTCGGTTTTTGCGTCACATAAAAATTTTCATCAAAGCAAGCATTTTGGGCAAGAATAAGCATTCTCGAGTCAGAGTTAACTAAGAACAGAAAGATGCAAAAATAACAGCCACATCTGACCCCATCTTAACATCCCAGAAAAAATTATCACAGGCTATCATCGATGAAACAGATATACCATCCATTTTTGTAAACCTAGCAGCAAAACTGTTACAAAACATGCAAATCGCCTTTTCCCTCTATAATGCTGTCACACACAGAAAAAACATCTCCTTATTCTTTAAGCCTTATTTCAAAACCTTACCTTTCTTAAGTGTTACCATTGTTTCGCAAGCCATGTGTAGTTTTTTCAATTGCTGCTCCAGTGTCTCAATCTGATTGTGTTTTTCTTCAAACCACTAAAATAAGATTAACAAAGTTACCTTCCAGTATAAGACACAACCACAGTCTTCTTTCATCTCGCATAAAATTCTCTTTATAGATAATAAACACAGATTTCATGGTGTCACTCAATAAATAGCACAATCTTAAATACCTAAAGCAAATATGCCCTGATTTATTTGCTATTGCATTTCAGGGCACAAAATCTATTTCTCTTTTTAGACAAGAAGCAATCTTTGTCAAAGAGCAGGCTTTTCAATGGGCAAGAAAATGAGTGAAATGGGTTTGACAGTAGCAAAAATTTTGAAACATACTTTAGCTGAACATTGTTGGTAGCTTTTTACTTCATATCATTTCATATCATATCAAGATATCTTTTAGAAATGTCTTAACAACTTTTGGAATTTTTCGTAACGTTTCATGATATGATATGTTCAGATATGGATAAAATATTCATCATAAATATTCTTAGTTTTCATCAACTTATGTGTGGTTAGGTCTAAAAAAAAGTTTCAGTGCTAATCTGAATAGTTTGATTAAAACTTTCTGCAATCAAATCTTCATTAAATTCGTTTAATTTTACAAACAGTTGCTAGATAAGACAAGGAGGAAAGATCTGCCTTTCTTTGGGTGTTCGGCCTGTGCTTGGGATTTTCAGTCTGTTTATGGGGGTTGCTCAGCCTGTGCATGGGGAGTTTGCCTGTGCCAGGAGCACCCCCCCCCCCCCCCCAATGGCAAAAAATCTCTTTGAAAAAGGGCGTTTTCTGGCTTTCAAAAGTGTGTGGAACCCCAATTTTAACTTGTTCAACTCGCCTTTGCCCCTCCCCCAATCTTGCCACCCTGGCTACGCTACTCCGTTTGATCTGCTCTTGGGGAGTTCAGTCTTTTAGAAAGGGCATTGAAGAGCCACATAACTTTGCCATCTAACCTATCTGTGAGTTTAAACAAGAAACCATCACCAACGAGCACTGACGTCAGCAAACGGTTGGCTTGTCTACATTTCTTATTTAGATAACAAACCGCTCTCGTTTGATGCGCAGCATGCCTAGATATCGTTTTCCTTCTGGATTACAAAAAGAACAATATCTAATGTTGTCCCGTTTTTTGCAAGGCGCCGTAGAAATTTAGCTGAATACATGAAATAGTGACAGGCCATTATCTTCAACTTCCTCCACAAAGGAGCTGTTATAATATTAGATATTCTGCTGAGATTTCGTGGCGCCATGATAAATCGATTTGATTTGATCAAAATCTAAGGAATGCAGACAAACAAGCGGACTGTTTGCTGAAGTTAACACCCACTGTGCAAATGGGAATTGTATTTTGTTTCACGACAAATGCGTGGGTACACGACAGAATGGATGGCGGAGGCAGCAGGTAAATTTTATACTTCTTAAATTTTTTGCCATTAAAACGAGAAGAATTTCGCTTCTCTTGCATTAATACTCAAATATGAGGAGTACGAAATAACATTTTTATCTATCAGAATAACTGTCGGTCCCACCTGGCAAGTTTACGGTGATTCGATTTGGTGAAGTAATTTCTGCTTAAAGTGAGCGATGATAAGTCTTGGGTTCCAGTCTTACCAAGTCATTTACCGAGTATGGAATTTTTGCGCGATTTTCTGTCAAATTTAACGAACTATCTTTAGCTGCAGCCTCAAGCCCTGGCTCTAAACCACCTACAGTTAACCTTCGGCCCCAAAGCCCTGTTCTCCAAAGCCCTCAGCCTCAAATTATATTATTCACCTTTGGATGTTAGGGTTCGTGCTTTCATTCTTGTATTAAGCCTTTATATGCCTTAGGAAAAAAGAGAGTAAGAGTTCCACAGTTAGGGTTTCGGCACAAAAGTTTGTCCCTTGACTGAGATAAGTGTATTTAAATGCTCCTAATATCGTGCCTTGTTTGGAATGCTCTTTCCACGCTGTCCTCTTCTCCAGTCCCTCCCTTCCCATTGGAATAAAGCATTATGTGGTTTTTCGAATCACTGTGAATTTTTTTATCTCTTGTGGTTAGGGCTTATTCACATCGCAGGGCTGATTTCCCAGATCTCTATGCTTTTATTTTGAATAGACTCGGCTTCTTAAAATGAAATCACTTCGTCTGCTCTTTTAAGGAACATATAAAAGTTCCTTAAAAGCGTACAGGACTGCAACTGTAAAATTTGCAATAATTAAACAATAAAGCTAAATAATAAAACTATTTGGCAAAGGATATGCGTGCTTACATTTAAAAATGTTGCTTGAATTGTTTTGAAAATTATTTTTCAGCCAAAACGATGCAATACAGACAGTCCCTCTATATTTTAAAGAAGAAATTCCAGATGAGCCTCGCTTAGACTACGAAAACCCACCCGAGGCAGTAGCTGAGGCCTTGTCTGTCCAAGAAACAGCTTCTAGCAGTGGTGGACTGGGCATTAGGAAAAAACGTGGACGACCTTCGAAGAAAGCTGAATTTGAATGGAGTGACCAAGACGTTTTTACGCTAATAGAAATATGGTCGTCAAAAGAGGAGCTGTACAACAGCAAGAATCCACGATATGGAAACCGCGATTTCAGATTAAAAGCCCTTGTTAACATACTGCAAACACTGCAGCGCCAAGGTATTAAAGTAAGGAGTACGAGACAGATCCAAGACAAGTTTACTAATTTAAGAAATTATTATGCCGCAGAACGCAGAAAAATTGAAAGTTCGCGCAAAAGTGGCGGAATTGCTGAATCGGAATATAAGTCCTCTTGGAAATTCTTTCACCCCTTGCATTTTTTGCAAGATAATTCGATTCCTCGCGAAAATGCTGGCAACTTAAATGATTCCTTTGTTATGCTTTGTCAACAGCCCTTTTCTAGTGCCTCGTCAACAAGCTCAACGTACTCAGCGAATAATCCACCTTCAGCAAAGGCAGCTAGAAGAACCAGGGAGAGGCAGGGAGAAACGTCTGGAAAAAGGATGGGAAGTGAACCAAACGCACATGAAATGATCGGTAGACGGCTGCAGGATAAACTTGACGACCAATCAAGAACAATGATAGAGAGGCAAAGAGAAATAGCGGAAAATGTAACGATTGCACAGGAAATGATAGGTACAAGGATACAGGAACAAAATGACAACCAGTCTAGAACAACAATTGAGAGGCAAAAAGAAATAGCGGAAAAAAGTATTGAAAGTGCAACAAATGTACAAGAAATGATAGGTAGAAGAACACAGGAAAATCTTGAGAACCAATCTAGAACAACGATGGAGAGGCAGCCTGAAATAGTGGAAAAAACCACGGAATATGAATCATACACACAAGATATAGCTGCTAGTGGGAGACAAGAAAATATTTGCAAGCCAAATGCTCCCAATCCTGAGGACAAATGCTACACTGACATGATCTTGCAGATGCTGAATGGCATTCCCGACTCAGAGGCAAAAGCACTAGCCAAAATTGAATTCCAGCAAAAGTTGATTTTCTTGAAATACAATCAGCAGAACCAAGCGAAAACATCATCGCAGCAAAATCATTTCTCTCCCTTAGGCCAGCAACGACGAGACACGCATTCTTCTGCTCAAAGATATGCAGCGAGCCCATTCTCAAGTAGTAGCTCGCACGAGCCCTTCTAATCTAGCAGAACGCCTTTACAAAAGAAACATTCTTTGGAAATCATTCGGTCATCGGTTAACATCGTGTTACCCTGGGTTCCAGAGCGTCAGTGTCGAGGAAATAGGGCGTCGAGGAAATAGGGGGTTGAGGGAGAGTGCGGAGGAGGAGAGAAGAGTCTTCCTCTCTTCTTTCCTCCTCCGCCCTCTACAACAACCCCCCCCCCTATTTCCTCGACGCCCTATTTCCTCGACACTGACGCTCTGGAACCCAGAGTAACATCGTGTATTCTAGCAAAACCTTATTAACTTTTGTTTGTTATAAACAATCTTTTTTTACTTCAAATTTTATCACTAGTTTTTTCACAGCCATTCAGTTTGTCCTGGTCAAAAAATATGCTAATATTTTTGAAAATCTTTTGTCAACGTTGATCTGTCAATTTTAGCTTGCAAAGTGAAAGAAGAAAACTAATTTCTTTCTCTTTATTTCTTTACTCATTTAAAGTAAGCTCACGTCCTCGTTTTCAGGATCATATTCTTATTCATATTCAGTCTTTAATACTAGAAATTAATCTAATATTAATAAAATCTAAATATCATCAATCTAAATAGATTATCAGACTATAAAAGACGCGGCATTGCTGATCTTTTTGGGCATCCAGCTCAATGTTACCAGCTCAACAAATCTTTTACAAAGTTTATTTTTCAATTGGCTCAAGGCAAGAAGTTCTCTAATATTTATAGAAACTCCAATAGACCGTATGCATGATGACGTCATTTAACGATAACGCGCAATGCATTGTGGTAGTTGTAGAAACAAGCGCCTCACTTTGCTTCAGGTTTTCTTGGTTTTCATATAAAAAGATCAAGAAAAATGAACAAATTTTCCAAGAAGACGGTAGCCCTAGTTTTTTTCAAAACTCTGGCATACGGTCCATTCAAGAACTAAAAGCAATTTAGAGAACCCTTTCTTCGAATGTTCTAAATTTCACATCTTTCTTTGAATGTTCTAAATTGTATTTGTTGGGGAGACGAGCAAGAGAAAGTTTTTTAATAAGTGAGGCAACCCTCCGTCATGGAGTCGAAGAGCATGCGCACGGGACGAAGTGCTCTCTGACTCCAGGACGGAGGGTTGCTTCACTCATTTGAAGATTTTCGCTCGCTTGTCTCCCCAACAAGTATCTACTTCTCTGAACCTTCGGTAACTAGATTTGGTACTTCCTCTATCAGTCTCAATGCGGATATTTCTGCTATAGCTTTCTTAAATGTAACGTCATAAAAAATCTTTCATCAGAACTTTTAAATGTTGATTGCATAACAGAACGCCATGAAGTACATCCAAATATGCAATAATCAGTTAAAAATGTCGGGTGAGATCTCAAAATATTGCGAAGGACCGTGGTTTTAAGTGTTGAATTTTTAGCCTTTTCTGGCTTGCGTTTGAAAATACATGCGAAACCAAATCGTGGGACTGAGGTTTTGTTCATCAAGGGTCAATTTTTAGGCACCGTGCTTGAAAACACAACAAACAATTTCACTTCAAAAGACCGTTATAGAGCTAAACCCTCAAACCGACTGGACCCCCTGTCAGGCCTTAATGGGAGTACCCCCTGGGGGCATCGGTCGCGTCTATCGTTTCGTGATTTTTCATTTTTGTCTCATAAACTTTTTACCGCCGTGAAAATTCATAATAGATCCTGTGCTTTGTCATAAACAAACAAGATAATTTTATTGCATTGGCCAATCAGGTTCACAAACCTGCCCTATCATTATGGCAGAACCTTGAGCAGGTTTCGTCCTTGGTACATTATGCTATTTCCACCAAATACAAAAACTTCTAGCCTGCGTGCTAACTTTGATGTCCATTGCGAAGGCGGACCAAACATGTTTGAAGAATTTTGATTATAGCTCGAAAACTTTTTAATACTGCATCTTATTCATCAAATGTTTGATTCTCTCTCCATCGATCAATAACGAAAACGGTAACTTATCTCCATAAAACGTTTCCGTAACAGTGTTCGTACGAATTCTTTGCAACCTAAATCTTTTGTTTTAAAAAAACCACGTTCAAAACAAATCTAAAATAAGTTTATCAGGCTATCCACTGTTTAGGGCAGGTTTTTAACTATATTCAGTGGCGTAAGGGAAGCATCTTAGGCTGTATAAAAGAATGAGACGAGGCCCCTATTTGCAGAATGCAAGAAAGTCCCATCAAACGTTGTATAGCATGTGAAACACAACAGCAAGATGCAAAAATTGTAAATTTTCTGGTTAACCACAGAAAACTGAGTTAAAGAAACTTCAGTTGAATAGAGGTTTTGAAAATGAGGTTTACTTGAGCAAAAATTTAGAAACATGGATAAAAAGTCGGTGCCCCAAACAGCGTTAGGTCTGCCACTGTAGTGTAACCAGTGGAGGACACATGGGGGGGGGGCGAGGGTGTTCGACCGTGAGTTGAAGTGAAAATGAAGAAATAATGGTCAAACAACAAGCTTGAAAGATGCAAAATTTCTTCGATTCGTTACTGCCACGCTCTCTCCCTATAAACACACAATAAAGCAACTCAAACCTGATCGTTTTCTGTCACTTTCATTGTCATCTTTGAAACAGCCTCCCCGACGTTTTTCACCAGTCTGCTGAAACCCCCTTTGCTCAACGCTGCAGTCTGGGTGGCTTTTGGCAGCTAAAATAAAGAGGGGTATAGTTTGAATTGAGAAAAACTTTGAATGCAAGGGTCGACAGCAATCATGGAGCAAAAAAGGGTTAAAACAACGGGCCGGTACCCTATCCCGGACTACTAGACTGAGGAAGTATTGTGTTGAAATAATTTGGGATTGAAGAAATGTTTTGAGGCCATAATGTTAATGTAAAAAGAGTACCAAAGAGGATGTTAATGTTAGGATGGCTTCGTGGTTAGGGTCGCAGACTACAAGTCTAAGGGCTTTGGTTCGAGTCCCTAACGTGACGAAATGTTCTCTTAGATTGAGGAGACTAGCAAGGTCTTTATAATTTTAAACGTAGGAATTACGAGGTGTGGTCACATCGAGAAGACAGAACAGGAAACGGCTTGTAAGAATAGCTGCTAGGTGTCCTAAAGTAAAACTACCTTCAGCAGCTGGGTTAAAACCAAAGGAAAACATGAATACTTTTTTTGCAAAATAAATGACCCACATTTCATAGAACATGATGCTAATACAAAAATAGCTTTGTTTGAATTGAGACATCATCTAGCATTGCATAATCGAACGAGTTTTGACACAAGATATCTGCGAGAAAACGAAAACATTTTCTGTCCTAATCATAAGCGGTTTAATATATAACGAATAACTCACTGTTTCGGCTTCCAGGAATTCTTTGAAATCAGCATCTTCTCTAAGTTCCGGGTGTCTTGCTGTACGGTTGAGATATCTGATGAAAAGCATGAGAAATAGTTTAAGTGGGAACAAGTCACAATAATAAATTCAATAAATAAAAACTTATGCTCTTTCAAGAAATGAAGTAGTGGGGAAAAAGAAAACAGTTGACCAGAGGTGGAAAAATTTTTTTTCTTTCTGGGAACCTAAGAATCTGGCTCAAAACTTCCTGCAAAATTTAGGGGGTAGACAAATAAACTTTTTGTTTGTGCCTATATCTCTATACTTAGTTGGTGTATCGTCTGCTTATTTGACTTAACCTATGTCACAAGATTTTTATATTTACTTTTCTTATATTTCCTTACAAAATATTCTGTGAAACTTTCTGCTAACATTTTCATCTAGAAAAATTTCTGGGAACTACGTTCCCAGGTTCTGATACTTTTTCCACCTCTGCAGTTGACAGTCAACCTTTAATGCAGGTCGATAACATTAAAATTTTATTATTCTTGTAATGCACCTTTTCAGTAATGATAAAATCCCAGCAAAATTGGTTTTGAGGAACAAACATATGCTGTGTGGCTCAGAAAGGCTTGGTATTTTCTAAATCGCTAAACGACTACAGTTTAGGGATAGCAGCAAATATAATGAATCGAGTATCAAAAAGTGCTTTAAAACAAAATGTGTGGTTTCATTTTTACAAGGAACGTTAAGCAATTGAAACACTCTTGTATCTATTTGAAAGAGGGACACAAACTAAAAGAAAGGAGGAGGTGAGTGAAGAATGTTTCCAAATAATAAACTGGAGCGAAAAAGAAAATGGGGAAGGAGGAGAAAAGTCTCAACGGTGTCTGAACAGAAAAGCCCTTTCCAAGGTAATGGTTTCAAGAAAACTGAGTGGCGGGAATCAAGTTGTGCTATGGCACTCCCTCTAACTAAAAAAATTGTACAATGCCTGCCAAAAGTCTTGGAACACTGACATCAATTTCCAAGGTCAAAACCAATCATCCCCCTCTCCCCCACGGAACAATGTTGGTTTACTATCAAACAGGTTAGGATTTTAGGAAGCACTTTCTTATGCGCTTCTTTTATGATATTTCTCTAAATCATCAACATTGTTTGAGGGGGAAAGGGGCGGAAGTAGCAATTTTTTTTCATGAAAGGAATGACATATATCAAATGCAGCGTAAATTGGTGGGTGTTCCAAGTACTTTTGGCAGGCATTGTAGAACTTTGTCTTGAGATGGTAAGAGCTGGTAATCCTCTAGCAAAGTTAATTAAATACTTGCCTTGCAACGACAGTGCTTAAAATCTGAGGCTTATGCATTCAGACCTTCAGAAAAACAATTAAGTAATTTTTCCAACTTTCTTCATCAACAGTAAAGTACCTTTCGAGTGCAGCTTTCCTTCTGTCAATAAAAGCATCGGGAGCACTTTCTTCACCTTTGGACATTTTCACTTTTGTCATCCCTAAAAACAGGCAAATTAAAGAAGGTAAGATTGCTGTTAATTTCTTTGCTTAATTTTATCCGTTATACAGTTGATTTGACAACCGAAAAGGAAAATCAAAGAAAACAAAAAGGAAGATGAAGACGACAAAGAAAGAGTATGAAAATAATGAAAAAATAAGATTGGGAAGAAATGAAAAAATAAGAGCATGAAAAAGAATTAAAAAAGAAATATTGCTGAGGAAAAAATGAATAAAAAGAAAAAAGAATTAAAAGGAGAGGAAAAAGAAAAGCAAGAAGAAAATGAAAAAGGAACGCCAAAGGAAGAACAAAAAGAAAAAAGGAAGAAGAAAAAGGCAAAAGGGATGAAGAAGGAAAAGCAAAAGAGGTAGAAGAAAAGGAAGAAGAAAAAGGAAGAAGAAGAAGGAAGAAGAAGAAGGAAGAAGTAAGAAGTAAGAGAAGATAAAGAAGAAAAAGAAAACGAAGAACATGAAAAGATTGAAAAGAAGAATGGGGAAGATCATGAAGGGCAAGGAGGAAAACAGGGAGATAAAATAAAGAAGAGCAAGGGAACCATAGTCTTCATCTCATTTAGGAGTCAGATGCTGTTAAGACAACTGTTTACAATGCTGCTATCTAGTGCTTGATTAAACAGAGACTTTGGTGTGTAGAAAAGGATTCTTCTCAGAGTAACTGTTTTATTATTAATGAATAATTAATGATGAAGAGTCAGCTCTGGAAGGGTCGGCTCTGAAGGGTTCAGTTTCACAGGTTCCGTAAACTACTCACCAACTACTGATTTCTCTGGAGCAGGAGGTACAATTCTTCCATATGGTAGGTGCTTCTCAGCCAAACGAACATGAAGACCAAGGAAATCACTAAATCTTCGTTTGACAACAGATTCTGGACTTTTGAATGATGGTAGTGATGTCTAAATAATGAAAAGTGCTTAGTTTCAAAAATCATATATTAATCACCCTTATACAAAAACTGTTTTATCAGTCTGTCATATAGTGCTTGCAGTCCTGGTAATAGCTTTGAAAAAAACAAACATTTAGTAAACTAAAGCTTTTCGTCTGACACTCTTCAGAGTTTAAAACGTCAGAACATAGATCGAAAACTCTACGCTAAGAAATATATATACCCAGTTGTGGATCGAAATAGGCCATCAGAAACACGAGCACATGACTGTAAAGGTTGACCAATCAGTGCCGCTTGCCTATGTAGAATGTTACCAATGGAGTCCTAGGTAATTAGGACTCCATTGGTAACATTCTAATAGGCAAGCGGCACTGATTGGTCAACCTTTACAGTCATGTGCTCGTGTTTCTTTGGGCCTATTATCCACAACTGGGTATATATATTTCTTAGCGTAGAGTTTTCGATCTATGTTCTGACGTTTTAAACTCTGAAGAGTGTCAGACGAAAAGCTTTAGTTTACTAAATGTTTGTTTTTTTCAAAGCTATTTACAAGTTTTGTACCACCAAAAGATTGAGTCCTGGTAATATGAAATTTGGTGGTGTGCTGGTAATCACACACCTTAAAAAGTTTAGGCGTGCGATGACGTGCGATCCGTTAAATGGAGACGTTACGATTTTCATGAAGACCTGATGTCATCTTTGTGTTTGAAAAAGTGTTTGAGGTTCCCATCAAAACCAAAAAGTTTTTATGGACTTTTAGAAGAAGTTTCTTGAAAACAAAATAGCTAATTTAACAAAAAGGATACAAGTTTTTTAGGCCTTGTTGCCATTACTCCGTTTCCATAAAAACGGATTTGAGTGATTCTCTTTTAGATTTTGAGTTTCATTAATACATTCAAAAATGCGGTTCAAAGTGATCCGAAAACGGAATCACTTGAATACACGTCGTTTTATTGGGAACAGCGAAGACAGAGGCAATCGAAAACGGAGTCATTCAATCTCAGTTTCAAAACGAGCTCGAGCAAAGGATATGAACGGACAAATATGGAGTAATGGAAACACCCACGTTATCCTTTTGACCAAAAAAGAGTGGCCCAGGGTAATATGTTCATGAAAATGGGAAAAGAACGGAGTGAGAGAGCAGCAGAGACACACACAAATGGAGTAATGGAAACCGGGCCTAGTGGAAACGAAGTAAGGAGTTAAAATGCCTCCGGGAATGCCATCAATATAACTCACGCAAAAGAAATTAAAAATTACTTTAGAGAAAATAAACCAGAAATTACAAGAAACAAAAGAGAAAACGAATAGTAATTCAAAACACAGGACTGCGCGTGCGATATAAAGCACTCCTTGGGAGTTTTAAGGGTGTGTGGAGGCGTGTGTGTGCGATTGCAGGCCTAATATCACCAGGACTGGACCATATTGAAAGGGTTGTACACACTTTGCGAATAGAACAGGACAGTTCTAAGCTACAACTTTGAGTTTCACCCTTGATGCAATCATTACGCAACTGTTCATGCTTTAATGCGATCATCAGGCATAAGTATTTATGACCTGGTGATAACATTAAGGATAAAACTCAACATAACAAATTAGAACTGTCCTGTTCTATACAGCAAAGCATAATGATGAAATTTTAGCATCATTTTCCCAAGCTGACAAAACAAGATGGTAGAATATCCTTGCAATTTAATGTCAATAAAGATTTATATACACACTGTTTCAAGACTGTCTTTAATATTTATTTAGTTATGTTCTCTTTACAGATAGAAAGTTTGAGAAATCAGAGATAAATCTAGTTAAGGTTATGGTAAACATTTTTGTCACCAATTTGGTTTTGTCTCCCTGAAATCCAAACTACTAAATGGAATCAGATTAAACTATACATCATTCGATGCACAAGAATGTGATGATTCCAACCATATAAAAATAATTGGCAAATATTGTAAAATGATACTTTCCATACACATTTATTGCTTAAATGATTGTACCACCTTCAAAAGTTATTTTGTACCCTTGCGTTTGAGGTATCAAAATCTTACTTGGATCAGCAGAAAGCGCAGATCCTTAGCTAGTGTCTCAGATTTTTCAAATTCCTTGTCCTCTTGTAACTATACCCAGTCAAAAATTGATAAATAAATTGTCTATTCTCCCGTAGTTGTTTTGGACCAGAGCGAATACAAAAATTTTGAGACACACTTTGCTTGCCTGGACATCTGTCCTGATCGTTTGCATATTTTGTAGCTATTTGATTAGTTCCTTGGGTACAAAATAGCTTTTTTGTAACTGTAGGTAGGGTAACTATGAGCCCGAGAAAACTGGATTCTACTGATGGCACTTGAAAGGTACACTCGTTAACCACAGTGTAATCTGGGTCAAGTCATTTGAAGATTAAAAACCAATAAGCCTGTTTAAATAAACACAGGCACACATGGGATACATGGACCTGCCATGCAATTGTAACTAGTAATGGTAAATGAAACATGTGACCACAACCTCAAAGCAATGATAATCGGCTTAACAAGTCAAGAGATTTTTCAGGCCTCAACTAAAAGTTCTGATAACGAAATTATGGAAACCTTCATTTACATGGGATTTGTTTCAATTTCAAAATGTCTGTTAGTTTCAAACAAGGTATTATTGTGTGCCTAGAAAGTTTGACTAGCAGAGTGGGAAGAAATCAAAAATGTAAGTTTTCTTCCAGAAAACGTTTACCGTAACCTTAAGAAAATTAACAATAACTTTTGCTACTGGTATACCTATTGGCTTGAAAAATATTGTTTTACCAGTCTGTCAGAAATTGCTTGATGCCAAATAGGCAGAGTTTCACTGAGTTTCACCCTTAATGTGTTCATCAGACAAAATTATATCAAAATTTATTGCATTCTAGTGTCACAAGAATCCTCTCTTTTTAGATATTTATCAAATTTTCCTGTTTTTGACGCACTTTCTTTTCAAGTTTAAAATAATATTTTTGATTGTCAAGTAGCATTGTCTCAAGTAACTGTTTATAATATTCATTTGTAAATTAAAGTTTGAGCAAAAATATATGTTGATAACATTTGTTTATAACAGACATATCAGAGAAAACATATAATTCATCAAATAAATTTATAAACTCGCGGAGATGTAAAAATGGATAAAAAAACTAGAACAAACTTTAACTAACCGTAGTTGACACTCTGTAGACCATAAAAGCACTCATGCCATCACCTAAAAATTAAATGCCAAATAGCATAAATATTTACATATATTTTGTACCAAATGCTTTCAATAACATAAAATTCTTGAACTCAATTTTTTCAACAATGCAAGAAAGCTCTTTTTAAGAAGTATATCTATTCAAAAATTTACTATACTTCTGACATTTTAATTTGTAACACATTTTGTGACATTTTCCATTTTTAAAATTAGATGGTAGTAGCACATAGAATAAACTTATGGCTTTAGGTGAAAATTCATCACAGAAAGGCCCCATACCGACTTTCTCTGGATCTGAAACTTTTATCTTTAT